TGGCAGAAAGAAAAAAAAATTCACACACCGCCTTTCACCGTGGAAACCGCCCAGAATTGACACCTCGACACCTTAGGCTACCAACCCGGGGAACTGCCTGACGTAGCCAATTAAATCATCAAGTCTCAAGAGAGCGAGGTCCAGGTCACTAGCACGTGGACTCTCTCAAGGCTCCTGGAACATCATCTTAACCGTTGAACTTGTGTTCTCGTTACTGCAGAGGATCCCATTGACCCAACTCCTCTCTTAGGTCTATTTTGCAGTGTGCGAGTGAAGGGGATCATGCGCTAGATGTCGACCCAAGCGCAAACCCCGTTACCCCAAGTCGGGAAGCTGGTGAGCGTGGTGTAAGTCCGCCCGCGTGATATTTCTACTTCCAATGCTAATTTTCTTGTGATACTGCAGTCCTGTCGGCCTCAAAGAAGCTGCTCTCGACTCGCCAACCTTTCGCGCCACGACCCACCACTTCTGTGATCAGATTGAATTCATCGAGAAATGGCTCGACGGCTACGCCAGAGCTGCGACGAAACTCTCCTCCGATTTAACTTCTCTGGAGAGTGTAGTTAGCAGCTTCCTTTCATACTCGAATCACCCCCTGGTCGTCTCCGAGGCTGTTGTTGATCATGACTATACACTGTTGGCCATGAGGAGGTGCGGTGAGGGCTCGAAAGACCTGTGGAACGGATTGGTAGCATCGACCAAGAAGATGGAGGCCATGATTGCAGAGCCCATCCGAGTTTTCATGCACGAGGACTTGCGGCATTTCAAGGTATCGGTGACTGGACCCCATTGTTTACGTTTCCGTCTGACACTAGTTGATCACCATCTAGGATGTCCGCCGCGCTCTCGAGCAATCCCAAAAACAGTATGACTATTTACAATCCCGATACTCTTCGCAGTCGAAAGCCAAAGAATCCTCCGCTCTAAGGGAAGAGGCATTCCAGCTCCACGAAGCTCGCAAGGCCTACCTGCGGGCGTCCATGGACTTCTCTGTTCAAGCTCCTCAAATCCGAAATGCGCTCGATCGACTGTTGGTCCGGGTCTCCTTCGATCAATGGCGAGAGTTTCGCAGCTTCCACAACAACAATAGCGGCACGTTCTCGAAATGGTCCAATGAGATGGACCGGATCAAGGGCTGGGTCCATGAGATGGAAGCAAGCGACAAATCTTCCAAAAGAGAGCTTTTTTCGACTCGAAAATTGATCGAGGAGGCTGCTGAGATCATGGCAAGACCTTCTCGCGAATTGGAGGATTATTCCATTTCCACCGTTCCCTACCTCGGTTCTCGTCCACTGTCAACAATGAATATGGGCAAGGATGTCAGACCAGAAAAGCAAGGTTGGGTTTATCTTCGAACGATTTCCGGAAAGCCGAGCCGCACAACCTGGGTCCGCCGCTGGGCCTTCCTGAAGCACGGCATCTTTGGCTGCCTTGTTCAAGGTGCCCGTACTGGTGGTGTCGAGGAAAGCGAGCGAATTGGTGTGCTCCTTTGTAGTGTTCGGCCTGCTTTCCAAGAAGAACGGCGCTTCTGCTTCCAAGTCAAGACCACGAATAACACCATTATGCTGCAGGCAGAGAACCAGAAGGAGCTGATGGAGTGGATTGGAACTTTCGAGTCTGCCAAACAGAAAGCTTTGGAGAACCCTACCAGCACGGATTTGTCGGTATCTGGAAAAGTGACTGTTCAAGACCCTGCTTTCGCCATATCTCAACCTCCTGCCCCAGAGTTCACCGCAGACCCAAGTGATTCGTTCACCCCGCATCACCACGATGAGACGGCCCCAACCGAGAATCGAAGCTCAACGTTGCCTGTACCGGAAAATGGACTTGCATACCGGGCTAGTTCTGATATTAGCCGAAGGTTAACTGGATTGGAAAGCGAAAGCTCTACCAGAGAGCACGCATCTCGCCTTAAGCAGAAGCTTGACCTCCACCGAAAGTCAAATCTTGCTGCCCCGGCATCTCCTACTGTCCCAGGCCCGGCTGGTGGTATAGCTAGTCTCATCTCTGCTAGTCATAATATCCTCCCATACAGTGGAAATGCACCTGTGACTGTGGGCGAGGCCGCAGGAAGCCGAGGTCGCAGCCTGAGCAATATTGACGAACCTGGAGCAAATCTTGCCCCTCCCACACTCGCCAATCCGCCTGCTCCAACTAGCATGAGTAAGGCCGCAGTTGTTGTGAATCAAGAAAGAGGCATTGGATTAGGTTCTGTTGATAGCACGGGCGGTATGCCCAGTGGTATGATGGCGAACCTCTGGGGCACTTCCAACTGGGGCTTCATCAACAAACTTCAACTGGAACAGCATCATACTACCAATGGAGAACGAGACTTCTCACTGGAAGGCCGACCTTCATCTGTCATGAGCGATTCCGATAAGCAGAGTATTGCGGCCCAGACTGATCTACCGGATGCGGCATCCAAGCATCCATCAGGACCGCGCCACAGACAGACAGTGAGTCTTGATGGGGATGCATCCAAGATCCAACGAGCTGTGATTGGTGTTACCGAATACGAATATCCTAGTATCTATCCGCAGCAACTGCGGATTCAGGATTCTCAGTTCCGACTGCTTTTCCCCGATGTTAAGAGAGAAGAACCTTTGGTCTTGGTGTTCAGGGCAACCTGGAGTCCAAATGACCAACAAGAATTCCCCGGTAGAGCCTATGTCACTACTCGGAACATCTACTTCTACAGCCATCACTTTGGATTAGTGTTGACGACAAGCGTCTCCTTGGAGAGTATCAAAGAGGTGACAGCTGCCCCTGGCAGAGATTCTGATTTCCTCTTCCTTCATACTATTCCTCCGCTTGGAAGCGATATACCTGGCCGAATCACCATCAAGACCTGGCTCGAGCCTCTCCGACTTCTTCAAAAGCGTCTGAACTTCTTGATACAAGGATCAATCGCTGTTCAACCCATGTCCCTTGAGAATGTCCTTAGAGAACTGATCAAGATGGACACTGGCTCTCCTAAGAGGTCTGCCAGTGCCGATAGCTGGGAGGATCTTTCGTCGGGAGTTGATAATGCAGATCCGAGCCTAATGGCCCACGGTCGTGCTAAAGATCTGCGTGTTCCAATTTACATTGATAAAGACCTCGACCTTGACGGAAGCAGGAATGGCCGCGGGCGGGACCTGGCAAAGTTTAGGCTTCCTACCCAGCCAGTGGAGTATGTTCCTCAAGGAGACCTTGTTTTGGCGACTGAAAAAGTGCTGGATATCAGTCCGAAGGCGCTCTTCCATATCCTATTTGGAGATAAGAGTGCTGTTTGGCAGCTTCTTCTTCATGAACGACAGGCCAAGGGTGAGTGATGTAGAATCACAAACCACCTCCCTGTACTAACAAATCGCACAGAAATCAAGCAAGGGCCATGGGCTGCCACAGAATCAAAACACCTCAGACGAGACTTCTCGTATCAGATCACGACGACTGACATGTTAGGTAAGTCTCCATACTTCTCACGACTTTGCCGAGTTGATCAACTAATACAACGCAGGAGGAGTTCATGACAATGCAATCTCCGATTATCAAATCATTGATGTCCTCAATGATCACCTATGCTACGTTATTACCGACAAGAGGACTCCCTGGCACCTCCCCTTCCGACGATCCTTCCGACTGGTCAGCAAAGTCGTCATTACTTTCGTGGCCAAGTCAAAGAGCAAGCTCGCGGTCTACACTAAGGTCGAATGGCTGAAGACTCCTTATGGCCTACAGAGTAAGTTGACGTTCAATCCAAAGGAAAATAGTGTTTTGTTATTCATTTTTCATTTTAGGTATTATCAACAAAAAAGCAGGTGACGACCTGGAGGAGGACGCCCTGGACCTCGTCGACCTTGTGAGCGACCAGGTGCGTCGCCTGGGAGCACACAGCCGTACCAAAAAAGCCATCACAATCTTCGGCCACGTTGGACGGCAAAGCAATACTTCTCATTTCAACGGCGTGGGCGTCAACGTGAAAATCGAGCCTCGCAAGCCCCGTGTCCAGCGGACTATGGCTCAGCTTCTCCGTGAGACATGCTTATCTCTTCTGGAAACCACCATTTCGATGGTCATGCAGTGGGTTATTGGCATTATCACTTGGTGCGTGAAGACTGTGAGCGCCCACAAGGTCATACTGGTCTTGTTGATCTTTAGCGGTCTCTTGAATAGCTTCTACTCTACGCGGGATACATGGGACTGGTGGCATGAGAGACATGCAAGCAATTTCATGGCAAGGCTGGGAATTCAGCCGAACATGGTCATGAGCAAGGCAATCTATATCCGCGACATCGACGAGGCTGTCGCTAACACGACTATCTGGAAAAATACTGGGAACGCAAGCAACTGCTTCAGTGCTTTCCACGAAGACACGATGCGGTACGCAGAACTACCGCTTTCTCTCAGCACCTCCGGGCCCCGGGACGCGGTGACCAAGAGTGCAGCGAAACGATTCCAGCAGACGCGTGAACGTCTCGGATCATATCGACACAACCTTTTGGTTGCGCTGCGCGTTGTAAACAGCATCGAGAAGGAGGTCATCCAAAACGAATGGGAGCGCTGGCTCCGTGAAGAGCTTCGACGGTGTCGTCAGGTTGAGATCCTGCTTGGCGACAACGCCTCTGGGAACAATGAAGAAGCGCAAGCTGCTCAGTCAACCCAGGCGGGACGTATCTTCGCAGACAATGCTGATAGCGTGAAGCAGTGGTATGATCGCTACTGCACAAGCTGTCTGCTGGAGCAAGACCAGGTGCTGAAGAACGACCGCGAAAACTTGCTGCTTTGAGTGTCGCCCAAATCATCTGAATAATTCTTGTACCATTGTACTGCCATTGTACCCAACCAACGGTTTGGCCCTTGCGCGTTTGCGCTTTTGCACAAATTATACCCGGTGGCCTTATGTATGATGTTTGTGGATAATCTCGTTTCGGCGTACATATGCAAGCCGAATGGAAAATCATGCCTCTTAAGCCCTCCAAGCTTCTGTTGTACGCGTAGACCAAACTTTCCCAGGTTACTTAGTTCTGTCGCGGCTTGACCTCGCCTTCTTGCACAACATAATAAACCACCGTTCCCTCTCCACCCATACCTTTATCCACCATGGCTAACAAGACTCTCTTCCCACCCCATTCCGTCGTCTTGCGGGCCTTCTCCCTCCTCTCGTAGTACTTCACCAATTGCTCTGCCTTAGCGGTGTTCCCATCCCCGGCGGTCTCATCCGCCTGAACGTCCGACATCGCATCAAAGACAGCCGCAATACGACGCAGACTCCACGCCTGACCTTGTGCAGTGGGGATCACGAAAAGTCGCTCTGGCTTCAGGTCATCTTCTCGGAGTCCCTGTTCCAGCATGTAAAGTTGCTCATCCGGATGCGTGTATACGCGGTGCGGAGGGATACCGGAGATCAGCGTTAGTGTGGTATCGTCCGGTGAAGATGTGATTGGGCTTTTGGAGGGGGTTTCCGAGGCTTCCAAGGCCGTGGAGATGTCGTGGATTTGTAAAGAGGTCCAGAGGTGCTGGTGTTGGAGATTGTGCAGGGTCTGGAGGGTGGTTGCAGAGAAAGGGTTACCAGATGCATCGGCAGCTTCTATGAGCTTGCTGAGTGCAGAGGGCTCGGGGCAAGGTTGTTCAGATCGTATGGCAGACATGCTTGGTTTAGTGTCTTGAGGTGGGAGCTGATTGAGTGTTAAACGGCTTTCAGACAAAAATGGCCCATTAATTGGGCAATTTGCTTGTTCACCGCCTAGGATTTGAAACACAGGCTACACCGCTTGCCCGAAGGGGGAGTATGATGAATCGTAGAGTCAATCCTATCCAGGATAATTCGAGAAGCTATTTAGAAAACATACATCTTCTAAATCCCATGGCTAGTTCGTCTTATGCAAATCACTCTCAACTCTCAGCCTTCTTCAGGGTTTGGGTGGGGCTCGGGCGATCATCGATTGTTGATAAGCTTCGCGACCTAAGAACACATGGCATCATCTTTTTTTTATTAATTAAGTCCGGACCAAAGGGTGATACTTCGTCCATACTCCCCTGACCGGGTCGCAAGCATTAAACCCCCTTCTGGTCCGATCTGAGATCGTCTTGAGTCCTACTCTCCACTCCTACACTGTTGCAATGGGCCGCCAAAAGCAAACAAACCCGCTGCAGCGAACTCCCTCGCAGTCAATGCGCAATGAAGCCGAAGCTGCCGCCCAAGTTGCTGAAAAGCACTTCAATGGACACGCTACAGATCCATTGAATGCCAACGAAAGCGCGTCGGCAAAGGCAGCTGCGGCTCTGGAGACAGTCGCAGATACTCCTGGATTAATGCAGCTGCTCATCTGCGTGCTCGGTATTTACGCGGCATTGTAAGTAGATCTCTTGAGGATCATGCGAACAGACACTAACCGACGAAAGCCTTTCATGGGGTGTCCTACAGGAAGCAATCACCACAACGAGCTATGCCATTCACCCTGCAAGCGCTGCCGACCCCGAGCCCGCCACAGAGCGCTTCACTTACTCCCTAGTCCTCAACACCATTCAATCGTCCTTTGCCGCCATCACTGGCTTTATATACCTCTTCATCTCCACACCGAAGGGCCAGGGCATGCCATCGATCTTCCCTACGCGCAGCATTATCTTCCCGTTGCTTCTGGTTAGCATTTCTTCGTCACTCGCGTCTCCATTCGGATACGCTAGTCTCGCGCATATCGACTACCTCACCTTTATTCTTGCCAAATCATGCAAGCTCCTCCCTGTCATGCTCCTGCATTTGACCATATTTCGCAAGAAATATCCACTGTACAAGTACGGTGTTGTGCTCCTGGTTACTCTCGGCGTTGCAACCTTCACCCTGCACCACCCGGGAACGAGTAAGAAGGTCGCTGCATCGGCGGAGACACAGTCCGGTTCTTCTTTGTGGGGCATATTCCTGCTGTCTATCAACCTGCTGCTTGACGGCCTTACAAATACCACGCAAGACCATGTCTTCACCTCTCCCCAGCGGTACACCCGCTTTTCGGGACCCCAGATGATGGTTGCGCAAAATGTGCTCTCCACGCTTCTGACCACTGCTTATCTTTTGATCATGCCTCAGTTGTCTCAGAGCGGTATCCTGCACAATCTGCTCCCAATTCCTATCCCTCCCTCCACTGAGACAGAGCTGTTCTCGGCCATCTCCTTCCTCACTCGCCACCCCGAAGCCTTGAAACACGTGCTCGGATTTGCGGCTTGTGGTGCTGTCGGCCAATTGTTTATCTTCTACACCCTGTCGCACTTCTCATCTCTGCTGCTGGTCACTGTCACTGTCACCCGCAAGATGTTGACCATGCTCCTCAGCGTGTTCTGGTTTGGTCACTCGCTCTCCGCTGGACAATGGCTAGGCATTGGCCTAGTGTTCGGTGGCATTGGCGCCGAAGCCGTGGTGCAAAGATCGGAGAAGAAGGCCAAGGAGAAGGCCAAGCTTGAAAGTGCCAAAAAGGCGCAGTAAAGCTCAAGCAGTTTCGTTTCCGTTGGAGCTGGTCTCATATACAGCATTAACTGTTATCGGAGTAATTGGAGTTCAGAACAAATATGAAGCACTTCAAGAAAGCAGCATCCCTTGAGGTTTATCAAATGGAGTATCAATGCAAAATGTATACATCAATTCATGTAAGCGTCACGATTCTCCTTATTTCCGGCCCTCGACCATGATGATATGATAGCCATGGCCTGTCTTCGCCTCTCCCCATTTAGGCTTAGCAGTCGTGCTGGACTCCAGCTCGAAAGCCACGGACTCGAACGCAGGCTCCAGATCTGCTCGGGTCTTCCAGCCAAGCGCACCTCCTGTATCACATCAGTCTCACATACCGCATTTTCATGTATCAGGTAAACAGTAACATCACTTACCTAGCCTAGCTTTATCCTCCGAGAACTCGCGCGCAACCTCATCAAACTTGGACCCATTGCGCAGCTTCTCCAGTGCCTCTTCCTTCTTTGCATGTTTCTCGCACTAGATCTGTATTAGATATTTGTTCATATATTGTACCAGGTCAAGTCCGCTTTGCAATCTATGCAACCAAGACTAAGTCTAGTGCTGAAGGGGAAAAAAGTGAAACATACAAGAATGTGCCGGACTTGGATTGTCTGCGCGCCCTTCACGGCGCCCTTGCCTTTGCCCTTGTCCTCGCCAGCATCTTTACCCTTGCCCTTAGCGGCACCCTTGGCGTTGTTCTTGGGAGCCATGACTGTAGTATGGGTTTGAAGATAGTTGATTTGTATATCGAGAAGCGGAAGTTGAATGTTTGCTCGGTTGGATGTGGGGCTAGTGGCCTGAGGCATAATGTGACGTGGGATTCAACTAAGCTAACGGTTCACTCTCTGTTCGTCTGGTCTCTTGTCTCTTTATCACATCGACGCTGATGGGGATCCCTCTTGGGACTAAGGGAGTCCATGATAGAGGAGATGGCCTGTGATCTTGAGGCAGCGCGCATTACCTCGTTGCCCGCGGATTCATTCTACATATCGGACTTCGTTTCTGAGGATGAAGAGGCTTGGCTCTTGCAGAAGGTGAGCATTATATGTGATTCACTTGCATGAGTGGCTGGTTACATTGCATGTATAGCCCATATGCTATGATCTGTCAGCCCGTTGCTGATCTTGATGCATCTCTGGCGTTTTGTTTCATGCACTAATTCCTTCCCAGGTAGCATCGGCGCCTCGGCCACGTTGGACAAAATTGTCACATCGCAGACTCCAGACATGGCCATCGCCGCTCACAAAGAGCAATACCCTGCTCAGATCTCCATTACCAACCTGGCTGGTATCCCCAGTCATCGAACCGCGGTTACGAAAGCTTGGGATCTTCAATGATGCGCCACACGGTGCACCAAATCATGTACTCGTGAACGAGTATCATCCCGGTCAGGGAATTATGCCGCATGAGGACGGGGCTGCGTACTATCCACTGGTAGCAACCGTGAGCCTCGGTGCCCCCATCGTGCTCGATGTGTACACGAAAACTCGTCGAGACGAAAGAGATGACGAGAAAACCAGCAGAGATACTGATCACACTAGGAAGCCGCAATACCGGATTCTACAAGAGAGACGGAGTCTGCTGATTACAAGGGCTGATCTCTACACGGATTATCTCCACGGCATTGCTGAAACGACCAGGGATGACGACTTGAGTGCAGACACGATCTGCAACTGGGATCTTCTGCGCGAGAAGAAGTTGTACCATGCTGGTTGGTACGAGCGGGAAACGCGGACGAGTCTCACATACAGAGATGTCCTAAAAGTCGCAAAGATGGGAAATTCCCTCAAGTTCCTCGGTGGACGATGAGGACTCAATCAAGAACGCGATTGATGGAATGGTCCATTGTGTTTGGTTCCCTCGGAATCGATCCGCCCGCGTTTAGTAAAGGTACGGAATCATCAACCACCGACGTTGCACTTCCTCCCTGCCGAACTTCTGCATATACCACTGCTTGGTCGTCCGAGCGGTCAGACCGAGGTTGACTGCCACAAAGGCCAAACAAGACAGCATGGTCTTATTCACCCACTGGCCCGGCGGAGCAGCCAGTACAGCGAGGGACATATAGATAACGCACTCAGCCCCGTAGTGCGGGCATACAATACCACGGAAGATCGGGTGATCTGGAAGGGTATACTTCTTCAAGGAGAAGAGGAAGTGGTGGCAGTCGTGCTGCATACCAGAGGCCATCAGGAAAAGCGGAACACAGAGGAAAGTGCGCACACTCGGGGCATTGGTGATCTTGATGTGGTCGACGGTGAGAGGTCGAGTCAGGATGGTTCCTGCAGGCCGGCTTGTTAGCAATTAAACACCACACATGTACAACGTGTCCTTACCCGAACCCTCAATCCAGATGGCCACCCCAGCGGTCAGGTAGAACCCAAGACCTAGCACCCAATGTACGAACCACATCTTCGATGTAGAGGGCTTTGCAAAGATAACACATTCCCAAAGTCGTCGAGATCCCTGCATGGCTAGGAGCAGCCAGCAGATCATGATTTGATTTAAGGACATCGACTCCAGCTGGTGCTCTTCGCTCACCCGCGACGCGATTGCCTGGAACACGCCGCCACGGAAGAAGAGCTGTAACCCCCAGAAGATGGACGACAGCACGGAGGCGATGTAGAACTGGATGAAATAGCTGTGTGGCACCTGCCATGTCGCGAGGTAGTCGAGCAGACCGGAGGTATCCCCAGCAGCAAGGCGGGGTCCGGAGGCCGTTGAGGTCGCACGCGGGCCATAGACGAGGAAGCGATCGCGCAGGGAGGACGGGATACTGACGGAGAAGGTCTGCGAGGTGTGTAAGCTCCCGGGACCCGCGAAATTGGGATGCAAGATGTCAGGATGAATCCCTTGGGAACTAGCGTACCGTGGCGGCGGCGAGGAGAAAAAAGGCACGTAGGAGGTCTATCGCGTCCATACCTGCTGCATGGAGGGCGCTATCGATGTCAAGGCGATCCATGGTGATAGGTGTGAGAGACAAGATGTGTCATGGCAAATATGCAGTGCAAGGTGCGAGCTGAAGGTGGAGAAATGGAAAGGGTTTACCCCCCCTCGGGCGATCTGCACTTTACATGATGCTCATTTTCAATATCATTATCAACCTAGGGGGCTAGGAGGTCGAGGCCCAGGACGAGGACGAGTGCTAGGATAACTACGGACCAAAGGGTTCGCCTATCTCTAAGGGTGCCAGCGTTGAGTTGGGAATTAGAGCTGAATGGCCGCATCGAGCAGATCGCCACAGAAGTGGAGTCTCGCTGGTTTTGCTTCCGGAATGGCACTGTGTTACGTCCATCCCGTGCACGCAGGCGGCAAAGAGCGAAACAGGATAAGTTAGAAGCTAGAAGCTAGAAGCTAGATTGCAAGCGATGTAAGAATGTCGGGGGTGGGTTGGGGGATAAAGTGGGTGGGTGATTCAGAGTGTGGCCACTGAAGCTCGACCCATCTCTCTCCTTAGCCACTCTCTGCCCCATTCCTCCCGTCTCTTCCTTTCCCTTCTTCTCTCTCTCCCCCCGGTCGCTTTTCTTCACCTTTCTTCCTTTTCGTCTCGTTCAGCTCTATACCATCCGTCTCTTATCCTCGTCTTTAATTGCCCTCGGCTATCCTCGACTTTTCGTCTGCCCACTTCCTGGGTAACGCTTTTTCGCCATCAACGCGCACCGTCGCTGGCGTCGCCGACCACGGTCGTCTAGCCTGTCGCGTACTCCCAAAATGACGAGCGGAACCCTGACACATCGAGTGCTATCGCTATGAGTGATGTCGAGGCAGTTTCCCTACCAGCTGCCCTGGATGTCAGTCCCAATGCCCTCGCCCCGGTGAAGGCGGACTCGGGACCTTCGTCGCCTGGCAAGCCTGTTCTACCACCACGACCAAGCGATGAGAAACCAGTGGAATCGGAGGAGGAAGGTTCCTTTAGTCCAAGGGCTGACTCGGAAGCCGAGACGATCATTCAGTCGGGCCGAGAGTCTTTGTCACCAGAGAAGAAGAGGAAACACATTCGACACGATCCACAACGCCGACCGATGGATGGTGTCGATGGCAACCAACGAAAGAAACCTCGAATTAATGGCGACCGAGTAGATCGAGACAATCGACACCCTCGACCTTCTCGATCGCCCCGTCCGTCCGAAAGACCCGCGTCGCCACCGTCCGTTGTTAAGGTAGAGAAGGTTGATGATGTGCCTTCCGTCGCGCCTAGTGTATTGGAGGAAAATGCCCCCAATGACGCAGACAGGCCGCCCCCATACCGAAAGAGGAGTTTCAGCGACAGTGTCGAGGAAAAGCGTGAACGACGACGCGACTCGGCCACCCACCTGAACCTAAAACACGTCAACAACCACCGTTTCCCACGACCGTCTTCCAGTGCTCGCTCGGTATCCCCTAGTCGCCATTCTCACCAGCGATCTGTTTCTGGTTCTCACCTACCTAATAAGAAGAAAGCCCCTACACCCCTTCTCTCCGGTTTCCAACGGCAGGCCTCGGAAGACCGACTCTCCACCTCTTCATCCGCCAGCGGATCTCCACATCCTAGTGCTCATTTGAGGAGACTTGGGTCTGGGATGGTCGCTTCGGCGTCGCCCGCGAAGCAAATCGGACCCAAGAAGCTTAAAGATAAGAGCGGACGTACACCTTTGGCCAGAGCTTGCGCGGATGGAAAGTACGAACAAGTGGTTCAGCGTCACGAAGAACGACCCGAAGATTTAAACGTCCCTGATAATGCAGGGAACACTCCATTGCAAATCGCGTCGCTCAACGGTGAGGCACCGATTGTTGAGTTCCTCTTGAAGGCCGGCTGTGACATCGACACCCACAATATCGACAAAGACACGCCCCTCATTGATGCCGTGGAAAATGGCCATATCGAAGTTATAAAGCTCCTGCTCGATGCAGGTGCAAATCCTCGAACCTTGAATGCCTCTGGAGATGAGCCCTATGAATTAGTCCCGTCTGATTTGAAGGACGATGAATACGATGAGATACGCAAGGCAATCGCCGATGCCAAGGCCAGCTCGCGACCCAGCCGGCGCTCAGAAGAGCATACCAGACTCGACAGCAAGACCTCTTTGTCGCGACGAGCATCAGTGGCCAGCCCTTCACGGAGTCCCCCACCCTTGAGTGGTGCAGCAAGTCGCCGCAAGACTGGCCGAAGCGAAGCGACAAGGAATGAGTTTTTGTGGACACAGGCGACACCGGAGAAGCTGCGTGAATACGCGGCGAAGGGTGATGAGCAAGGTGTTGTCAGTGTCTTGAATATTTTGCAGAAAGCAGACAATGCGTCCTTGATTGCTGCCGCCAAGGGTGGTCATGAAGATGTGCTATCCCTTATGTACGCTATGGGCGATGCTGATGCGGATCCAAACCCGGTGAAGGGACAGGGCCAGAAATCAGGATACAACACTCCCATGCTCGCTGCCATTGGCCGTGGCAAACCAGCCATCATTCAACTTATCCTCAATCAACCTGGTTTTGACCCTACCCGTCGCCTGTACGAAGGCGCCACCTATTTCGAGCTCTCCAAGGCTCGACAAGGCGAGAACTGGGAAGAAGAGCACGAGATCTTGAAGTCTGCTTTCGAGAGGTCTGGAGGTTCCCGCAAACCAAACAAAGACCTCTCTTCACCCCGCCGTGCTCGTAAAGAAAAGGACGACAAACGATCTGCCCGCAGAGAATCCTCTTCACCTGCTCGCCCAAAGAAGCTCGGTGACAGCCCCAATCGTCAACGTGCACCTAAGGACATCGAGGCATTGAAACAGAAACGACGTGAGAAGGAAAAGGTCAAGGCTTTGAGTCGCCCAAAGGTGCCCCGGGAGATTAACGACAATGCTCTTGCTAGCTCCGATCACGATTCAGTTCGCCCCGAATCCGTGAAGCCTAAATTACCCTCGGCAAGAAGAGGTAGCGAGTCTAGTGGTATGGCTCGGCCTGACGAGATTCGAAAGCGACGGCTTATCGCTGGACGACGTCCCCAAGATCAAGAGCGTGAGCACGAGGGCGAGCGAAGATCAAGCCTCTTTTCATCTGATTCTGGTCGGGAGGAAGGGTCCAAGTCTCGCAATGATTCCGCACCGGACCCTATCTCATCTTTGAAACGCATTCGTACCGATACCTCCCCTGAAAGATCTCGTTCGCGGGATGCAGATAGCGATCGGCTATCGCCCGAGGCACGAAAGAAGAAACGGCGTGTACTCGCCGACGAGAGGTTATCCGGTGCTGTGAATGGTGTTCCTCGCAAGACAGATGATGCGGTAGATGGTGAAAAATCTCACCGTCGACCTCAAGAACCAACTTCACGACCCGTCGAAAGCACCTCACGCAAGCCTACTGACAACTTGAAGAAGTCAGTTCCTTCCCAACAATCTTCCGCTCACGATTCTTCCAAGAGAAACGGAGACGTTAAAACTGAATCTCGCGAGGCCAACGCCAACCCTGTTCCTGAGGCTCCCACCGATGAGAAGCGAGCTGAGATCGAAAGCGAGAAACGTCGCCAGGCGGAAGCCAAAAAGATCGAAGAAGATCGCCTCGCGGAAGAGAAGCGAGCTGCAGAAGAAGCAGAGCGTGATCGTCTTGCCAAAGAAGAAGAGGAAAGAGCTGCCCGGGTTGCCCGTGAAGCCCGTGAAGCCCGTGAAAAGGCTGAGGAAGAAGAGCGCAAGCGCCAAGAAGCCGAGCAACGAAAGGCTAAGCAAGCCGAAGACGAGAAGCTCAAGCGAATCGAGATGGAGCGCGCTCGGGTCATGAAGATGCGTCGCGACCAAGAGGCCCAGGAGAAACGCCGCCGCGAAGCTCTTCCTGGCCGCCTCCGTGTTTCCGCCCGATACGTGGGTGAGAATGATTCTCGTGCCCGAAGCCACACATGGCTGAAGAACTTCATGCCCCTTGTCACTGCGGTCACCCGTCAGCTTGAACCTACTTATGCTGAAGATATTGTGGATGAAAAATGGATTCCGAACTACTTGGTTGCCCCTCTGCTGGCCACTAATGACCTCCAACTGTCTCAATATGCCTCATGGGAGAAGCGCAAAGCGACACTGACCCAGCGAAGCAATCTCTGGCGATGCACTCGCCGGATGCTGGTACATACGGACGACCCCCGGTACAGCAACGCATCGTTCGGGGAAATCATGCAGCTGGTTGATCAAACCCGACCCAAGTACGAAGAAATGGAGCATGTCTTCTGGATCAGAGTAAGCCTTGCCATTATTTTCATCTCTCTCATGATATCACTGCTAACAAATTCCCAGCTTTCTGATTTCATGGACCTCGTACCGCACATCCCTCACCTTAATGGACTCGAGCTTGAATTCATGAGCATGCACATCGACCCAGAGCCTTCCGCTGGCCCCGGTCTTCAGGCAAACGGCCATGCTCCCAGTATTCTCGCTGAAACGAATGGTTCCTCCGTTCCCAACGGTCATGGCTATCCTCGGACCGGTACATACTTCTAGTTCTCTTTGCAGTTACAGCGTCTTCGCTATTTTATTGGCGGGATTGGCAGAATTTCAGCGGGTTGCGGTGTACAGGGCTGATTCTGATTGTACGATAATGATACCTCTTGCGTTCATGTAACGAATTCACTTTTGTTAGCCACCATTAACCTGGAAAACTCGTAAATTCCTATCACTTCTATCGAATCAGTGACGTGGTTGGGGTTCCTATGCATGAGGAAGTAGTCACGTGATAGAGAGAGAGAGAGAAAAGGCGGTGACTAAGCGTAGGGCACACACAGACGAAAATCGAAACCCACCAAAATTTTGCCCGCGCTACCCCATCTAAACTTCATCACCAAAAATACTCTTCGAGGATCATTCGACATTCTTGAACATACAAATAACAACATGGTACGTTTCTGCACCATCGTCGACCCTCAATGCTGCCGACAAAGCGAAGAACTGGTCTGGATACATCTGGAGAGCGCAATGCCCCGCGCACGTTGCCGCCGCACCACCTCGACGAGCTGAACTCTGCATTGGAGCTCTGAATCTCTGAAAGAACTCCATACCCAGTCCTTCGCCTGTCGCAGCAGTCCGCACAGAACCCACAATAAAGACAGAACACTAACATGATAAACAGTCGGACGGAGAAGAGACCATGTCCAACCCCCCGTCGCTGCCGACGAGGTCGAGGTTTCCGCTGACGCTGGCTCCGGCCAGATGTCCGTCCTCGACGCTCTGAAGGGTGTCCTGCGCATCTCCCTGATCCACGACGGTCTTGCCCGTGGTCTGCGTGAGGCTGCCAAGGCCCTCGACCGCCGTGAGGCCCACATGTGTGTCCTCAACGAGGGCTGCGAGGAGGAGGCTTACAAGAAGCTCGTCGTCGCTCTGTGCTCCGAGCACAAGATCCCCCTCATCAAGGTTCCCGATGGAAAGATGCTCGGCGAGTGGGTCGGCCTCTGTATGTATTCCCGGTTCAAAATGTGTGGGACGTTGTGCTAATATATAATTACAGGCACTCTCGACCGTGAGGGTAATGCCCGCAAGGTCGTTAACTGCTCTTGCGTCGTTGTCAAGGATTGGGGTGAGGAGTCCCAGGAGCGCTCCGTCCTCCTCAACTACTTCCAGACTGAGCAGTAGATTAGTCCTTTGGGCTGGTCGTGCTGATAGTCTACAAGGGAGGGATGTCCTGGTCGCTGCGTGATGGATATATGGGAGATTGAATCAGCCTACACGACCCGCTGGTTTAGTTCGGTGGGATGGATAGTGTCTTGTTTGATTAGCCTTTACGTTCGTCGAGTGCTGTGCCCCGTTTGCTCGGGTTTGTGGTGCTGTGGCACCGGGTATCTACTTGCCAGGACAAAATTACACGATGATGTGATGTCAATCTTTCTTGCCCGTAGAGTCTTTGCAGAGTATCGTAAATTTGTGCGATTGGAATTGTGAGGTCGTCCCAGCCACGTTATAGTAGTGAATGATGGGAGCATTGTTCATCAAGCCCTAGCTTGGTACTTTCCTTTCAGGGTTGGTCCGTCAATTGATCAGACTCATTGTCGACTCCAACCTTGACTTCTAGCATGATACAAACCGTGCAGATCGATAGAGCGGTCAAAGGTCGTTTGTCCGCCGGCAAGTTGCTTTAACCACTCTGTAGTCTCAGCAACCGATTAGGACCTCGTTCCTCGATATTACACGATAAGGAGGAGTGAACTTCTTAACCGCTTAGTTTGTAGCCAATAATCAAATATTATGTCATTTATCATCTAAATCCAACGGAGATTCACCACATAAATGAACGATGTTGTCACGTCCTGGCCGGCCACATGGCACAGCCTGCTCAAGCATAGCGTATACTGTACTTAAATTATCATCAAGCTCAGCCAAAAGGCCAGTGCGGAGCTAGAAAAAACATGCAAATTGCTCCCTTTCAAGGTATTATAAAGCTAAGCTTTGATCTTGGCAAATTCGTAAAAAGAAATTTTAAAACCTCGTGATATCGTAGCTCAAAGAGCTGCATTTGCGCAAGTAAAAGCAGGCGTGATGGATCCCGAATAATCAGTGATAATAGCTTCCACAGCTGCGTATAGACCTGGGCCGAGAATGAACAGACCAACAACCATGATGAAAGCATGGATGATGGTCATGGCTGTCCTGCCCAGACCGTTGAAAAGACGTCCACGGTAAAGCTGCCAGTAGGCGATGGCGAAGAAGATGAAGCCAAAGAAGGAGTCAAATGCGGCACTGAGGAGGGATAGGAAATCTCCCATGCTGGGAACGACTTCGGCGAAGATGAAAGCGAGCATCCAGATAACGGCCATGATCGCGCCCCAGACTCCCCATCCAATGAGCGTGTTACTGTGTGCGTGTCGAGACTTGCCCATTGTGAGTGTGTAGACCAGCTTGGCCGTCACATTCGCGTAAATGACTCCGATAATGAGAGTAGGCACGATGACGAATCCAAAAGATGCTTTCTTGTATGCTTCGACTCCCAGACTACCAAAAGCAGGGGCGGTGGCGTACTGTCCCAAATAACGGAATCCAATCGCCGGAGGAATGATGAAGAGGATGGCAGAGATCCCAGCGAGAACAGCCAATGCCTTGGGGAAGTCTTGTGGCTTCTCCATCTCGGCGATGAAGGTGGGGAACAGGATCTGAGGAACCCAGAGAAATGTGATGTTCAGCACGGCGTTCATGCATGCAACCCAAGTAGTGCCTGGAAGAGGAAATGCGTAGGTCTTGACTGCTCCATCGGTGGGATAATCACCACTGTAACCATACAGAGGGGCCTTTTCAATACCGGCGAAGACGAGGAAGAGAAGGATTGCGATTCCCATGCAGGCGGCTGAAATACGCAAAGCGTAATTAGTACCTGCCGAGGACTTGACCAAGGCAACAGGAGAAAGTTACTCACAAGAAAACATTGACAAAAAGCTGACGTGTTGAAGGGTTCGCGGGGCAGATATCACAATTCCCATGAGTGTCACAATGACAGCGAAGACAGCCGTGCACAACGTGTGACCTGACAGGGTGTTGAGAACTTTTGCGCCGGTCAGGATATGGAACCCGATGAGTAGAATGTTGTTGGCAAGCAGCATGAACGCGGAGAACACGTAGGCACCTCGGTTCCTGCCGAAGATATAGTAGCCGAAATCGCCTGTCCGTGGTTAGTTCATCAGTATGAGACGAAAGTAGACAAAGGCGCGGCCTATCGACTCACAAATATCCTTGATCTGGGGGTTCTTCATGATGTACTTGTGCATGGTAATTGAGGTGATCCAAAAGATGATCCCCGAGAGCACCATGGTGATGATGCCTGGAACCCATCCCAGAACCCTACACATTTGTTTAAGTAGGTTCACAACAGAGAATGGGAATTCCGACTCACGAGAGAGACCACGACTGGGCCATGATTGCCAGACACACCTGGTCACCGGCAAGTAGGCAGGCGGTCTTCTGCCAGGACATAGTTCGAAGCTTGATGTCATGTTCGTGGTCTGTCGAAAAGGACAATTTAAGTCCATGTCAGTCAAGTCACGCAGATCTGAAGGAGCTCCTGACCTTCAGCTACCAAGGCTGTGATGGTATCGAAGGAGCCAGCTCCGTCAAGCTCCGTCCCAAGGACGTAGCCCGATTGGTGTTTTTCGTCTTTGCCCTGAGACATGGCGAAGATCCACGATCGAGTTTCTGAAGCTATCGATACCAGACAGTGAGGGCGAGGAACCAGAGAAGTGGAAAAGTAAAAGAAAGATCTGCGGACCCTGCAGCTTTTTGTTAAAGCTTGCACGTGGGAAGAAGTCCGCAGTTCTCATCTGGCGCCAAAGCGCCTTAGCCCGCGCAAGCAATATCGCGTCCCAGATGGCGTGATAATTAAGGATATCGCGATACTCACAACCTATGGATACGGCGGTAGAAAACACGAATCCCCAGAGAGACTAGTGCTGTAGCGCTATCGCTTTATCGGCGATTCCGTGGGTCTGGGCCCCATGCGCCTCCATGGACACCCGGGCCGCTCCTTCTTGGCCCCCTTATTGGCAGGCACCGTCACCGCGCAAGCCTGGCTCGTTTTTTAGCGTCTATTCCTCCAAGAGGGGCAACCTAAGATGGGCAGGTCAAGGCAAAAAAGTAAGACAGGGGAGAGAATTGAGCCGAGCATAACAGGCCGGCTCTATCTCAGCAGATTATCATTAGCTCTATATTCTTTGCAGTATTCGTTATATTAAAGCATTAAAGCCCGGAACCCGGGGTTTCTATAAGAGTGGAGAAGGCCAAATTGTCTCTCGCTTCAGACTTGCCCCGTAGGTTTTTTTTTCCGGACATCCTTCCACCCCATGCCGAAGGCAAAGACCATGCACACAACGCCAAGGCTGGCAGACATGTAGAAGACATGGTCTACACTTTTCGCATAGGCCGTCAATACACCCGGAAGATTTTCACTCGACACCGCAGCCCGGATACCAGTGGCACCTGCCGCAATAACAACCTCTGGATTCACATTGGGAGCGTCTTTCGGAATAAGGGACTTCAAACCAGTCGAGAAAATCACGTCCGCAAATGTCAGGAACACCGCGCCGGACAGCGTCTGAATGAACATGAGAATAGACATGCCAACGGATATCTCACTCGGCGGAAGTGTGTTTTGGATTGCGATGATAGGCTGTACAATACGCCCGTTAGTTATCTCTTTCCATTTTTCGGAGGAAAGAACTCACGGTTTGAAATCCGGCTCCTCGGCCTACTCCCAGAATTATCTGATACCCAACCCATTTCCCCACGGAGGTAGAAGGCGTAAAAGTCGAGATCAGACCACTTCCGATGGCAGTAGCAATTCCGCAGAAAACAGCCCAGGGAAGATAGTACCCGAACTTGCCAACTAAATTCAGGATTAGCGCTGAATCTTTAGCTGTAATATCCGAAGAGACTTACTCAGAGCCCCAGAAGTCACTGCCAACGCCAACTGTGACAGAATGCTGGGAAGAATGTACACTCCACTCATCATCGGAGATTCATTCTTAATGGCTTGGAAGTAGACGGGGAGATAGTAGGAAGCGCAAAGCACCATGGCGAAGAGGCTGAGCATGACCAGGCAGCTTGACCACACGGTTCGCTTCGCGACCATCGACAAGGGAATCATAGCTCGGTTACCTTGACGATACTCCCAGTACAGGAATAGTGCAAATGTACCTGCGGCACCGCAAAAAAGACCAATGACGGTCGCGCTCCCCCACGGATATTTACTACCACCGTATTCAAGCGCCAAGAGAAGTTGGATCGCAGCAGGGGCGAACAGAACGAATCCGATGAGATCGAGCTTGTGGAGGATCGTGTGCATGGCTGCTTTGATCGGGGGCTTTTCTGCTTGATCCGGAATTTCAACAAAGAGGAGGAGCACCGCAACTAGAGCACCGATTGGAAGGTTGATGTAGAAACCTGGGAGAAAGATTAGATATTGCCAATGAGAGATTTGTAGTGAGGGGGGTACCTACACCATCTCCAGGTCGTATATTCGGTGAAAGCACCTCCCAGCAAAGGGCCGAACACGACACCAAGTTGACAGACTAGCGGGGGTTGTTAGCAAATTGCAAACAGGTCAATTTTTGTCGGTTACTCACAGCCCATCATGATTCCAATGAGAGCTGTTAGACTTGTTAGTGCGAGCTTTGAACAAAGAAAGACGTGTTCACATACTGGGAGACTTGTGCAATGGGACGGATGATGAAACAATGGTCAACGCCCCATTCATCAAGCCGGATGAACCCAGGCCTGCCACTGCTCGAGCAACAATTAACATCTTTGAGGATGTTGCGAGGCCACAGAGAAGAGATCCCAGCTCGAAGATAAAAAAGAAGACTAAGAATGTCCACTGCAATTCAGTTAGAGTGCGGTTTTCAGGAAATGAAAAAGCAATAGTACCTTCGATTTGAAGTTGGTGTAGACTCTGCCTGTCAGAGGTTGCAAGCATGCACTGATTGAGACTTTAGTGAGAGCCGTGTGAGTGAGGAGATTCAATGGGTACCTGGCAATTTGATACGAGCTACCGTACCATCCTAAATCCTCAAGAGAGTGGAATTGAGTCGTAATCACCGGAATAGCCTGTGAGGTGTCAGTCGTATACATAGCACAAGGCGCAGACAACCCACAGTCACAATGATTGAAGTATCGAGCAGCACCAAGAAGCTAACCAAAGTTACCGCCGTGACGACCATGGTAAGCTTGATGCCAGCGAGATATTTCCTCTCGTCATCTTTGGGAGACTCCTGGACCACCTCTAATTTTCCATCTAGATCATCTGCCGCAGTTCGCGACGACGAATCGGAGTGGATGTCTTTTGGTAATACTTGGGAGCTCATCTCTGGCTTAAGATCAGTTGTGTCATAGGTCTGGACACTTTCAATGATCTTCTCCTCCATCTTTGAGGTGGGCAGCGACAGAAATCCGGTTGTTTTTTTATTTTATTAGAACATGTTTATAAGGGGACCTTATATCCTATGGGCAATAAAAAGAAATTTCACCGCACTAAAGCACAATCAAATAATCGGTGAACCAGGCAGGCCCCTGCGTGAAAGATCATGCGGCCAAGGGGTCAGGCCAATGTTTGGGGCTCCCGATAGTCATAGGCCGGGGTTCGCGCGCATTCCGAAATCCTAAATCCGGTGCCCGCTAAGTCCGGCCCCCTTTTGGCAAGGCTCGGACACGGCCATAACAGCCTCAATCTTAACTAAACGCTAAGTTTGGTCTATATTCAAGCCACAAGGATGCACTAGTCTGGGATGTTTAGAGCTCACTCCTCAATCATGAACGACCTGAAGTAGAGCCTTGCGTAGGCAGAAAGTAGACACGTTTCTACCTCCACTGATTAACCCCGAGTGCCGTAGGATCTTAGTCAGAGCATTAACTTTTCTGCCTCAACCGGATTTCAATGCTTCAACTCCGACCGACCCTCGAAACAAGACCTGTTGGGTACTGAGAAATCTCCTATTCTTCTTTCTACTTCAGCTTATATGAAAACGAATCCCTAGTGGCGATCGCTTCTTTCTTGAATCTCACTAAGCTTGATTGATCGTGGGCGCATCTTCATTTCCGAATCCCTGTTACCGTCGGACATCGGAATGGAGTCGAGCGAACTCCAAAGTGGAACCCCTGCACCATACGGCCGGGCTTGCATCAACTGTTCTCGTGCTAAAAGCAAATGTATCTTGCTTGGCGTTGGAAATGGCTGCGAAAGGTTCGTGTGGCTGAAGATTGTGTTTATCGCAGAGGCTAATGGCTCGTAGATGCCAACGACTAAAGAAGGACTGTCGACCATCGCCGACGGTTCGAAAGCGAAGTGGTCGCTCCTCTGCTTCAAGAACTGCCCAACTTGAAGCAAAGCTTGATAATATTGTGTCTCTACTCCAGACATCTGGTTCATCTAGTATCTCCACAGACTGGGAATCTACACCGGCGAAATCGCAATCAGGCATCGAACTTGGCCCACCAGGTCCAACTGGGGCTCAAGTCGGTGCTTCAGTTGGTGCTTCAGTTGGTGCCTCAGTCGGTGCTTATGCCTCACCTGGGATTTCATCACCATCAACAGCAGCTTGCTCACCTTCATCAAATGAGTTCTCAGTACATGATCTCTGCTCTAGACTTCCCATTACCCCAGATCAAGCGGAGAAGACCCTCAATATGATGCGCACTCAGAATCTGAAATTCCTTCCTTTTGTCTATATTCCTCTACATGTCACAGCTGATATGCTCCGTCAAGAGAAGCCATTCTTCTGGCTTTGCATTATGGCGGTAACGACACCAGTGAACATACACAGAGAGACATTGTTTCGAAAAATTACGATGCTCATTCAACAAAAGTTGCTTATTGAGGTTGCGCCGAGTATAGATATGCTCCTTGGCATTATGACATTTATATCTTGGTAACTCTCACATTTGGATTGCTACATATATATCAAAACCCAAGAATCTAACCTACGAATCACTTGCAGGACGACTTACTCCCGAAAGCCATTCCTTAACTTCTACGCACATGTGCTGATGGGCTTGGTGTGCGACCTTGGTATCAATCAACCCGTTGCCCAGGAACTTTCTACAATGCAAGCTTTTAAGTGCGCGGTCGGTTGGAAACAGCAAATCCCCACTATCAGGACTCTGGAAGAGCGACGGGCCGTCCTGGGATGCTTCCTGCTCACTTCGAGGTATGTATAAGCCCAAATATTTTGATTAACAAGGCTAATAGCCCTTCAGTATCGCGTTGACAATGTCAAAAATCGATGCACTGAGATGGAACCCTCACATGGAGGAGAGTCTAACCGTCCTCATGGAAGCCAAAGAATGCCCGGAAGATGAACTTTTGGTCACACTTGTCAAAATTCAGTTGATCATGGACAAGATCTATCACATGCGGCGGGACGGCGAGAACAGATCATACTCGCTGTTGTATACCAAAGCATTCCAGTCGCAGCTGGAATCGGTGAAGTCTCAGATCCCCCAGCGCTTACAACAAGACAGTACGTTCACGCATCTTGGTTATTTCTTTTAACGGCTGCTGACTATATAAACAGAGGCTGTTCTTTTATACCTTGCCAATGCCGAAATCGTGATTCATGAGATCGCCATTGAGACTTCATCTTTACCCAACTCCCCCGAGATGCATCGCCTCGAAAGTTTATGCACATGCCTCCAGGCGAGCAAGTTCTGGCTGGACACTTGGCTTGCGATATCTCCAGATCATCACATTGGAATTTCGTTCACGGTTTTTTTCCAATTCTCTAGGGCTTTGGTCTGCTTGTACAAGCTCTCCACCTTAGAAGATCCAGCCTGGGACAGAAACATGGTACGAAATACGGCCAATGTCCTCGAAATTCTCGATCGTATTCTTCATAACCTGAAAAAGAGTTCTCGCATCCTGTCAGATCCCGATCACTTGGAATACAATGTCTATGAAAAAGGTGTTAAGATGGTACAATCCATCAAACAGGGCTGGGAGCCAAAGCTGATGGAGGTTTGGTTCCCCAATTTACCAACCGATGAAATCAGCAACCAATACGTCCAGACTCCTCTGCCTGATGTTATGCCTATGACTGGGTTTGATGATGCGTGGATGCTGGAAGTTTTTGGTTCGATGTGAAGAAACATTAATTAACGATGGGTTGTGCTTTGGCGTTGGACGGTTGGGTTCGCTTGTGACGATATCAGCATAATACCACTCCATGTAAATATATGAGCAGTCTCCAATAACATAACCTTAGCATTAATTATTCGCAAATTTTTGAGTAACTTAATTGTGAATGTCCTTTCTCACAAGAGACAACTGAATACACCTTCGACCCGACAGGGCAGCTTCAGGGGTCAAAAGACCCAGAGCTATCCAGCCAAGACTTTAGCCAACGAACTAGTTGACCGACTATTCTTTGAATCCGACACAAGTACTGTCTTAGGGTCCACTTGACCGGACACAAGCAATCTTGAGCTATGGGGTCATTTTCTCCGAACCCCCGCTACAATTGCGGCAAATAAGCTAGCCGTCGAGCAGCATGCTTCTACAAGACATGTTATATTTGGTTTGACCTTCGCGCTGTACGTATTACGATTAATGCTTGTGACGAATCTCTACACACTGTAAATGAAACACCATGCATCGGAAACCGGACGGATCTCCCATGCACGTCCAAGTAGCTAGGGCCCCGAATACACCCCCACTAAAGTCTAGAATCCGGGGCTATGGAATAACCACAAGAGCCCGACCCCTTTTTGAAGGACCCAATTAATGCCCGTCAGGATTCACCATTGACGTCAGTAGCAGGCTTAATGGTGGGATGACCGGTTGAGCGTGGAGTAGTACACGTAGACCACGCCACAAAAACATTGACATTGAATAAAGACTCCGTATTTTCTTAGCGCCTATTCACTCTATCTTCCAAATGTACATATTAATTATGTCCCTGTGTCGCCCGCGAGAATTCAAGGCTCCATGTGCATGTGATTTCGGCAGCGGTGGACAAAAATGGGAGAGAACGGCATCAGGGGCCGCGTACAATAGCGCCGATCAACACTAAAGAAATCTAATATTCCGGAAAAACACCGACAAGAGGACCCGTGAAGACGATTATGTACTTCACTGGATGACTGCCTTATGGGCCCGCATCTCCAGATCTCGAGCAATCAACGGCATCTATTCGTGGCCATATGGAGTCTAAGACCAGCTCTTGGCGTTGATCGTCGTTCTAAAATAAGCTTCACAAGACGTTCTTCGAGACGGAAAGGACGACGTTAACTGCCGATCTCGTTCCCCAGATGGCATCAATCCCCTAATATGTTGATTGGTCGACATAAGCTTTGGTCTAGCGGTTGTGGCTGACATGCACTCCGTACTGAACCAAATCTTGTCAGTCACTAACAATGGGCACCCATCAAATCTGTATAACTAGGCAATTAGGACTGAGATGCTCCCTTTCAGAATACAAACTAAGGAGAAAGAGAGTATGAATTCCGATTAGCCAACACTAGTTGGCATACATTAATTTTCGTCCTAGGCGCCGCAAGGAGTGATTCGTGTACCTTGTGGTAGTGATACAAACCACAAGGTAGCCCCCTTAATTTCGGTTGCCGATCATTCCAACAATTGGAAAAGGTGGAGAAGTGAAAGGAAGTGATGGGGCCATTTTGAGGCAGAATTCTCCACAAACACACCTTCCAGGACCTCTCTACGGAGCCACGAAGATCGCTTGTACACGCGTACGGTTATCGACAGTTGGAAGACTACAACGCGTGGCACGGGATAAAATTATACCAGCTAGACATGATCTATCGGAACTAAGAGCCTGGAAATCGACCCATGATCCAGTCGATACTATAAGACGCTCTTGGCTTCCTGCATATTTGAATATCATCAACCATCAATTGCATTTTTTTGATATAACTCTTTAACTTTTTTCGATTTCTAACTCTACAAATCAACAACCGATAAAATGAGATCTACCATCTTTGTTTCCGCCATGCTTGCTGGCCTCGCCATGGCTTCTCCCGCCCAGCCTGCTCGCGCTGGCGCTTGTCAGGTTGACGCAGACTGCAAGTCTAACCAGCATTGTGATGCCGGCAGCTGCGCTCCCAACAAGGTTACTCGTGATGCTCCTCTTGCCCGGCTCGGCCAGGCATGCCACATTGACGGAGACTGCTCCAACAACCTGGCCTGCGTCAAGGATCTCTGCGCTACACCCCAGAACAAGCGTGACGGCCCTCTGGCCCACCTCAATGCTGCGTGCAAGACCACCCAGGACTGTGTCAAGGGCCTTGTCTGTCAGCAGGACTCTTGCATTGCCCCCAAGGACAAGCGCGACGTGAGTCTCATTAGTCAAGAGATTTCAATATTTGAATTAACACTAGATAGTCTCTTTCTGAGCTCGGCCAGCCTTGCCATGTCTCCGGTGATTGTGTCAAGGGGTTTGTCTGCAGCCAGGACGACAAATGTGTTGCTCCTAAGAATGCCCGCGATGTAAGCACATTCTTACCCCTGAAGGCAACATAGACATTACTTATACTATTCGATAGGTTTCCCTGTCTCAGTTGGGCCAGCCTTGCCAGGGTACTAGTGACTGTGTTAAGGGCCTGGATTGTGAGAAGAATACCTGTCTTGCTTCCCAGGGCAAGAAAAACAAGCGCAGCGTAAGTATCTTGTGTTTTCTCCAGCTGAGACTTTTTTCTAACAACCAAGCAGGCCCCTGACGCTCAGGTCGGCCAGAAGTGTGACACCACTGGCGACTGTGTGAAGGGTCTTGTCTGCGAGCAGGACACTTGCATTGCCCCTAAGGACAAGCGTGAGGTGAGTACACTCCAACTACCATGTCTCAATGGAATACCATCTAACATGATATACAGAACACCAAGTCCATGATCAACCAGTCCTGCAAGGTCAATGGCGACTGCATTAAGGGCCTCGTCTGCAACCAGGACACCTGCACCGCCGCCAAGCAGGAGCAGTCCCAGCAGCAGAAGCGCGACGTCGGTGACTCATGCGAGAACGATTCTGACTGCTCTGGCCCAAGTAAACTCACATGCCAGTTCCTCAAGGGCAACAAGGTTTGCGCTGTCCCCCAGAACTAAGCCTACAAGCCTATAAGCTATCTGATCGTGTTATTGGAGAGTTTTGGAGGTTAATGTCTTAGGTACCTCTAACCAATATTCTCTTGGAAATTTCCCTTTTCAGATGGTGTTCTGTGCATTGGGAAGCTACATCTCATGTTCTCCAATCCTTTGGAGTGTCCTTTCGTTCTATTTCATCAATTTGTTTTATTATTAAACTCATGAATCTGCTCAAGAATCCAGTGCTTAATCGCCACTAAATTGGCTTGTCGTAATCCAACCTCAGCCGTTGAATTTGTTGCAAACGTCCATTAACAGTCAGGTCCTCCTCTATATTCAAGATACATCTAAGAATGTATAATCGTCAATAAATCTAACGGAGTTAAGTTTTTCAGGCTCCCGGCATGAAGGGCCGTTTGTACTTTTACCAATGTAATATTCGGACCTGTGAATTGCCCGTTCCAGGTTTTGCCTTTTTTGGTTTGGCGACCCAGTACGCCGTCACGTAATCTCCCCCTCCTTCGCCCCGATATAAAGGCCCGCGCCTCGTGTCGGTACAAATCCCGCGGTGGACCGGAGATACAATTAACTCTCCTTCATGTTTATTACTTATGTAATCTAGAATCCCCCTAACGTGGTCGGTAAGCGAGTGAGCCATGTAAGCGAGTGAGCCACTCCAGAACTCCATAGTAAATGCAATAATTTAAGAACATCATTCTCAACAATCACAAGTTTTTTCCACTCTATCTTCCGTATCATAATTTTTTTTTTGAGCATGAGAAGCCTATTATAAGAGTCTAGGTCAATTTATTATGATTTGACAATATTGATAAAAATTATACTGTAATTTAACGTTTTGAGCTTCAAGAATATGTCAGCTAATCACCACCTCCTGAAATTTATCGAGACTTTCAAAGTACGTCAGACTCAACACGAAGAACATAAATATACAGGAAGGCTCCACGATAAGCTATGGTTGTGGAGATATTAAGTTGTAATCTATCGCATTTACTATGGTGTTTTGGGGTGGCTCACTTGCTTACATGGCTCACTCGCTTGCCGACCACGTTAGTTATAAATTGCCAGACTCAAGTGTAATACAAAAATAGAGCTTTTGACATCATTGCTTGGTTGCATAGAAAGTCTTTCCAACAGAATACGGGAATACTATAGTCCGTTCATAGCACGTACGGCCTGGAGAGTACGGCCGTACGGGCGCAATGTTACAAAAGCACAGGATGGATAGTTATGTTAGTATTTACCGATCCTTCCCTGTCCGAGGGAAGGACAATCAATTACTCCGTTTCATTCTCACAAAACTACTCCCTTTAACACATATTAGCGTGTCTATTTCTCCAGCACAAACTTGCGCAAGCACATTGACACCATCAGCATTATTGAAGTTGCAGCTACCACAGTCACCCATCTTGGGATGCTTTTCCTCGTCTTATAAATCTTCCAGCCAGGGCCTGACCGAGATGGGAGTGGAAGAAAATCCAATGCCACGGCCCCTGCAATCATTTTCGAAGCCACATTCATAGGCAGGTCTCCAGAATGAGGCATGTAGTATCGTCCAAGTAGGCGCAGGAGCAAGGTATCCCGGATATGAAGACGTACTACGAGGCGCGAGATATTATATATTGAACTGATGCGATCAAACCGGGTTTTACTATAGTCCTCAAACAGAGTACTCAGCTCTTCAGTTGAGAGCTTGCAAAGTCTCCCATTCGTAACCCCGCGTGCATTCAGCATGTTCGCTAGCGCTGCAACATCCTCGATGGCACAGTTTGCCCCCTCCCCTGTGTTTGGTGTCATCTGTATGGTATCCGTAAGATGATAGTTCGTCGTAGAGAATTTAAGCAACATACCTTGTGCATGCTATCTCCGATGCACACTATGCGCCGATAGCCCCATGTTTGGAACACATTCTCCTCCAAAGCAATAACTGAACACGCCTTTTTGAGGGTCCACAAATCACTGAAACGAACGTTCTCAAGAATTTTATCATTCATAAATGGGCGACAAATCGGCTCGACGTCCTTTGATGAGAATCGCGGAGCATGGCTGTACGGGTGTTTCTGCTCCAACTTCTTTACCAAGAACCAGAAGACACGTCCATCCTTTCCTGGGAACGTTAAGAAAGATCTACCATCGTTGAAGCTGCACACTTGCTCCCCAGGCACCAGGCCAGCCACATCGCTAGAAATGCCGAAAGCACAGACGTACTGCACCGTCATACCTAAACAGCTTGCAATATGAGTCATTAATTGCCACACAAGCAAAATCTAGGACTGAGGATTTGAACTGACTTTTTCTTTCTGCTGCAGAGATAACGCTTGGTTTGGTTTCCTCCGCTAGTCGCCACATTTCCGCACGTACTCGACTGTGTACGCCATCTGCTCCCACCACCAGGTCACCTTTATACATATTCCCATCATCTGTATGAACAGTCACGGCGTCCTCGAAATCCTCAATTTGTGTGATCTTTTTTCCACACAAGATCTTTGATTTGTCAGGTAGGTTGTCAAAGAGAATCTCTAACATCTTTTGTCGTTCCAAAAAGGCAAGAGGAAGCCCAAATCTGGTAAAATTAGCTTAGATGGACTTAGAGACTAGAGAGAGACATACCTGTCATTGAATACCCCGGGAGATGTATTGGTGTGCTCAAACCCATCGGGAAAGTGAATATGAGCAGTATGCAATGGTTCGCTTGACTGTTCGATTATCTTGAAAAGTCCGAGCTGCTCCAGTATGCGACCTCCATGAGGGAGGATAAGAATGGAAGCACCCTCCTTGGGAGCGACATACTCTCGCTTTTCCAAGACCACATAGTCGATACCAATTCTGCTGAGAGTGTGGGCCAAGGTAAGACCAGCAATAGATCCGCCGACAATGATGACTTTGAAACCCTTGGACTCCATGCTTGCTTTGATAGCCTCTCCTTGAATTAATGAAGAAGAGTTACCTGGAGATTGATCCGAGCGATATAGATGCTGAAAGTCCCCAATTAGGTACTTTAATAGGCCAAAAGTGTTTGAAGGCTGTAATAAAAATTTTTGGTACTATCAGCCCTTGCCCTTGAAAATTGCACGGGGATGCAAGCCCCCTTGCATTGTGGCTCTGATTTATTTATTGCTCATCAGATTAGCGGCGGCATGACACACACATACATGTGTAAGATGACGCGGACGGGTCCTATCTGATGCCACGATCTAATGCGTTTACGTATAAGACCGCAGCGACAGGTGATCCGTTATGGCCAAACTATACACATCGTATCTCCCCCCCCCCGACTGCGTGAGGTTGCCAATGAAGTGGATCTAAATATGATTTGTTAATATGATTGTGCACCTTTTTATTAGGGGTCGGCACGAATAACGAATATTCGCAATTCACATTCGCATTCGCAGGCTTTTATCACTACGAATGCAGATATTTTAAAATGTTACGAATACGCGAGTCGATCCCTGCTTTTCATTCAGGAGGTGTGTTGAATATGTACTGACCTACATATTTTGAATAAGTGCGACAATAATTCCAGTGGAGCAACTTGGACCTACCTCTTGGCCCATGTGGCTCGCGAGTGGGTATATGCAGTAGACAGCTACATATTGATATATGCACAGCGACATAATATTTCACAAATAAGCAGGGCAATATACTTTCAGGCAAAAAGCAAGATTAACACAGAAAATGGCTTGAGCTATTGAAAATGATGTTCCCCAGTTAGTATGTATCTAGGAAGATCTTCCAATCATCAGATCATCTATTCTCTACTTCCAGTTCTCACCGAGAACTCTCTTTTTCAGGTCATCATCATGTCACATAGCAACCAAGTGTCTCAGAAGCCCTTCGTATCTGATTACATTCCACTACCACCAGAGGAGTTTCATACGAAGGAGAAGAGCATTTCTGCAGATTTACCCCTCGCATCCACCGCGATAGTTATCTTGCCGATTCGGAGTGCTGGCAGTGCCAGCTAGATCAGCCAGGTTCCCAAGAAGATGCCCGCACTAAAAGGGTCAGGAGCGGAACCAACAAGAGCTATGCTGTTAGTGGTATCAAGCCTACAGTTGGCAATTTTACAGCGCTGTGCGTAAATGCCCGACCATTTTCTCTGATTTCTTATATCGTTGAGTATGTGGTAAGGGATTGGCCACACTCAAAGCACTCACGTGAACTAATTGCAGATTGCAGTGATTTAATACGCGGAAGAGAAACCTGAGTCGCAGGTCAGCATTTGCTTTTGATATATCGAGGGTCTCCTGTGAATTCTTTTAACTAGCTACGTTTTTGAGCTTCGGAAAGAATGAGAACACTTTCACTTACTCTCAGGAAAATTTCTTCATAATGTAATATGTTACCCTGCCCCACCACACTACCCATTATTTTTTTTTCCCCGTGTCAAGATATGTACCAGTGGATGGATAATATCGGAAGTCTCCTGTAAATTGACTTTGTTGCTAGAGATTGGCAATCCACTGGACTGCTTACCTCCTTCTTTTTCCTGGCCAGACAAACTGTTTGGGGCATCCATCTAGTACAACACAGTCTGACATTCGTGACACCTGGGTAGGAAGGATCATCCTTATCCATTAGATGTCGGCTCGGTCCCTTTGAGATTGACAGCCCCGGGTGCCTGAGCAATACCCGGCTGCATGTAGGCGACCAGACCCCTTCCCCTGGTGGGTGAGCGGAGGTCTAATCAAGACCGGGAAATTACATATTATAGGAGCATAGTCGAGAGACGCTATTCTTGAGCCTATATTTATTCCCCATGGTGGACCTTGATAGCCATAGCGAAATTCAGTCCCATGCAAAACATGGTCGGCGTGAAGGCGGCGATGGTGAAATATCTAGCTGTGTCTAGATTGCACTAGAGCCTTATGTCTACTTAAAATCGCTACCATCAAAGGGAATTAGAAACACTGCTATCGATGGCTTGGACGTCTGGTATCAAGTCCCAGAGCGATCGGTCAACACGATCCAAGAAATCACAGAATTGTTACACAGTTCCTCATTGATGCATGCACTTCCTCTGTCTGTTGATCAATATGAATACTAACACGCTTAGGGTCGATGATATACAAGACAACTCACTATTGAGACGAGGCTCTCCTGCCACACATACCATTTTTGGGATTAGCCAAACAATTAACTCAGCCAACCTTTTGCTGATGAAGGCTTTGAAAGCAGTGACGACTCTATCCCCAAGTGCTGTTTCCATTTTTACAAACAGTCTCATAGAAGGTCATATTGGCCAAGGAATGGATCTATATTGGACACATCAGACGAATATACCGACTAGAGAGGAATACTTCACTATGGTTGACGGCAGTATGTTCACTTCACTATATACCCTACCCAGCAATCAATATAATGCTAAATGCCATGGGCTTTCAGAGACCGGTGGCCTATTTGTTCTTATGGCCGAACTGATGCGCTCCGAAGCAACCACGAACAATGATCTTGATGCGAAGCTCCTCATGAGCACCGTTGGCCGCTTCTTCCAGGCCCGCGATGACTACCAGAATCTTCAAGACGCAGATGTACGTTAATATATTCGCCCATCCCTCCAGCATACCACCTCTCACCATTTCAAAAATACACGTTTCGCCAGCGACATTGACCAAGTTATGCGCACAGTACACGGAGCAAAAAGGATTCGCAGACGATCTGAGCGAAGGCAAGATCTCTCTACCTCTACTCTTCGCTCTGGAGGCGAAAGGACCAGAGCGTGGCCGATTGCTCAGTATCCTACAGCAACGAAAGACTACTGGTTCCATATCTGTTGAGTTGCGGAAGTTGGCACTGCAAGATATCGTAGCCGCGGGAGGACTGACACGTACAAAAGGGGTCATACTCAATTTACAAGAGGAAGTGAACAATTTATTGGCGCGGTTTGAAGATAGGGCTGGGGAGAGGAATTGGATTTTTAGACTGATGAAGAAGCGGTTAGAGCTTTGAAACGAAAGTGTGGAGTATTTCGGTAGCTGATATAAGATGACGGGGGCTTGGAGCATTTTTATATGATGAAGCCCGCCCGCCATTATCACAAAAACCAAAGAACACGAAGAATCATTATTTAATAGGTTATGAGCCCGGAGCTGCTCACGCCAATTTTAAGAATACTGCCTTCCGCTAAATTTCCTCATCAAGTGATAGCCTCATTAACTCAAGAACCTAACCCATTTCAATCTAATATTTCTGTGGAAATCATAATTGATTCGCAGTTACCTCACCGCCACAGATACCCATCATAGGTATCACGACATGACACAGCTACAAATACCTGCAAGAGATCCCAAAATATCACACCGCCACAGATACCCATCATAGGTATCACGACATGACACAGCTACAAATACCTGCAAGAGATCCCAAAATATCACACCGCAACAAATATGGACGCAGATATCATATGGCTACTCCTTGTGATTCGTTGACGGAAACAAAATTGAAACCAAGCCAAGACAGCAGGATTGGGCACTCCTTGGCCTAAGATTAGGGCACCCAACATCAAACACACAGAAGACGAAGTCTGGCAACTTATATGCGGACCGACGCAAGTCATCCAAAAGGCGAGCCAGCATGGATGATGAAGATGACGATGTAGGTGGGCCAAGAGATCCGAAAAGAACCATCTTCATGGTGACACAGGCCTCAGAACAAGACCTAAAAGGGGCGTTCGGGATGGACATCGAAGGCAACCTCGCCCTATTTGGTCACATCCCAACAATGATGGCCACAAACCCCCTCTTGATCCGAGACGCTTGGATTGTGGACAGTGGGTGTGCTCAGCACGTCCGCAATAATACCTCGAGGTTTGTGAAGATGGGAAAGTATCATGGTCCACCGTTAATTCTAGTTAATTATATAGTTCGGCAATTTGATTTTAACACCTGGAGGTTGGCTCTAAGGCTGATATGTTGAAGCTTGAACAACTTGCTCAGGCTTCGCTGATTGAGCTATGATGAGCTCATATCCTGCCATGAGCTTTCAGTATCAATTCCCGGGCGAGTTGGTTGTCCTGACTCAGTGGACGCCCCAGGCTCAATTGCCAATAACTTGAATTCGTAATCCATTCTTAAACAACTCTATATACCTCCGATCAATTGCTGGAGATTTCCATTGACTACGCCATCCTCGGGACCGGAGTCTCTTGGCACTAGGCGATCTATCTCCGCTTCTACGTTGGGGCTTTGGAATTACCTATAAGGTGTCGGTGTACAATAGTGCAAAAATAGATCCAAAGATTGCATTTGAGCTTAGTTGGCAACCCCAATGGATTGAATCCGGCTGAGAGCATCCCTTTGCACATCCCGGACAATAGTTTCCGCCTCTGTCACTTCATGGATAAGCCCTACAGAGGCTCCTGCATAAGTAGCAAGCCTACCCTCCGGTCCCCAGCCACTGTCACCCATCTTTGATGCCTCTTCATGAAGCTTTCTGAGCTCTTCAAAAGAGGAGCCTTCTTGATGCTCCAGGAATGATTTGTTGATAATTGTTCTTGGGCTATATTCAGCCGGCCATCCGAACGTACCCCTGAGGTGATTGTAAAGTAATGTACGGGTGGTATTGACTGCACCGTCAGAGGCTCGCACAATCTCATTCTGGTACCCTTGGCTAATACGTGCCTCATTGGCAGCCAGGAATCGTGTTCCCATCACCGCGCCCGAAGCGCCCAGACACAGTGCTGCGGCAACTCCTCGCCCATCGGCAATGCCACCTGCTGCTAGTAAGGGAACATTGCTGTTTGCCATGGCATCTGCAACTTCCGGGAACAGTGACATGATGCCCATCCCATCTGTTGCCCGACCGTGGCCGCCCGATTCCAATCCCTGGACAACGACAACATCTGGCTTTTCAAGGCTTTGCAGAAGCCGCTTTGACTCTCCCAAGGTACCAATCTGAATCCATATCTGTGTTTGAGGTGATACTTTGCGAATTCTCCGCGACCATACGTCAAATTCAGCGAGGCTTTCACGTGGGGCATACAGCCAGGCGGCGCAAGGCTTGAACTTCTCGACGGTGGCAATAGCTATCTCAATATCGTCACCCCATAGCTGGAAGCCAACTCCGACCGGGAGAACTGGATGCGTCAAGGGGATCGCGCTAAACGCTGATGACCCGCGTGCCTCGTTGATTAAGGTTGAGGCTTCATTGAGATCGGCTTCCATATGCTGTGTCTTGACGCCAGGACCAATAAATCCTAGACCACCTGCTTGAGAGACTGCGACGGCAAGAGAGGCGCCCGACATGACGCGCATAGGAGCGCCCACAATGAAGGGGTGAGAAGCCCATGGGTAGCGTGATAGTAGCTTAGCAGCCATATTTGATGATGTTTATGGGCGGAGCTCGATGGTTGAAGAGAGAGAAGAACGCGATGCCTTTACCGTAGCATGTGAAATTACTAGTTAGTACCTCAGAGCCGAGGCGTTGAAATCAAAACGATCGAGTTCAACGTCGAATGCCTGTCGTTGTTTTGCCGTCGCCATTGACATCACCGCCATCACCGCCATTCCCGCAACACCCGCAATGGCCTCCGCACAACCCGCATCTCCCACTCTCCCGCATCAGCCATCACCATCAGACTCGCCGAAATGGACTCATCCAAACGCAAACGGGCTCGGAAAGCATGCCAGCCGTGCCATGAACGTAAAAGGAAGTGTGATGGGAGCGAGCCCTGCACCACCTGCACTGAATGGGACTACGAGTGCTACTATGAGGATCGACCACAAGGGAAGTCTAGAGCAGTCAGACAACCATCACCACGATCTCAAACAGCGAAGTCCCCGCAGCAATCTGTTCCTGGACCTAGTCCTGCGGAGTCTGATCACTGTGGACTCGTTCGGCGCATGGAGGCCAATTCTGGGGCGGCGTTTGTAAGAAAGCTTGGTCTCAAGATCGATCCGGCAAAAGCACCCAAGCTTAATCTTTTCGGCTGGAACATCGGTGCAAGGCAGCTTTCCTCTCAACCAAGTACCGGTCCCGCACTGTCATTATTTGAAATCACCTCGTGGGATCACCTCAAAGCCTTGGCGCAGGTGTATTTTGAGAAAGTGGATCCATGCTATGGGTTCATCGAACAGTCTCACTTTTTCGAGCGGCTCAATGCACGCTGGCAGTCATCTCCGGTCCCTGAAGTATACGACAGCGTAATATGTGGGATAGCGGCAATCGGCTGTCTATTTTCGCAACGAAGTGCCACGATCACGGAGCTGCATCTCATTCGTACGGCTAAATCATGTCTGGAAATGCACCATCTCACCGGTCCTCCATGTCTGGATCTTCTTACAGGATGGACACTTCGATCAATGTACCTTCGAATGACAGATTCTCCACATTCAACGTGGATGGCCAGTTCTACATTGATGCATCTCATTGAAGCGTCAGGCCTTCACCCAGAGAAACAATATGATTCCGTTCTTCCACCCCCGCTTGAGTGTGATCAACATGCACGGCCTGACATCCACAGAAGACTTGTCGGCGTGGCACATCACTTGAATGTGTGGAGCTCTTATGATCTTGGGCTTTCTCGGGTGTTGTTTCGCACAGACGATTTGCCATTGCCTCCTTCACCCAAGTTGGGTGATTACACGGGCGAAGTTCTCGGTCTCTTACCGGTCTCAGTCCGCATGGACCCAGGAAAGACAAAAGATGAGACCGATCTCGAGCCCACGCTTTTCAAACTTCTGGAAGGTAGCCATTCTCAATCTCCATCAGTCATGGCGCAGTGCAATCTGGTGCTTTGTATTCTTCGACGTATCCACACTCAAAACCTCGACTTATCTCCTAAGCTTGCAGAAAAGATCTTGGCGCTACTGAAAAAGGCACTTGGCTGTGCAAGGAGCATGGTCATGGATTGTTCACCATGGCACCAGGTTGCCAATGTACCCTTCCAAATCATCTGTGTCCTGCTTGTGATGGATACACGGTCATCGCTTGCAATGCTCCCAGAAGCAATGCAGACACTCAACTTGGTTGCATCTACCTACAACACAGAGACCATGAGAGAGGCCTGCAGTGCAGCCTATTTGCTGGTTCTGCTACATCAGCAGCGCCGAAGGGATGATGTAGCCATTTTCGGTGAGGCGCTCAACAACCATCAGCAAGAACAACCAGTGGATTTCTCTCAGCAGTTTAATCCTAGTGCTGAAGAGTATAACTGGCTCGGGGCATTAGTTGCTGATTTGCCTGGATTACAACGAGTCGATCTAGATCAATTTTTGAATGCTGATATGATGGATGGTTCTTTCATGGGATCTGGTGGAAACTTCCCTACCGAAAGCCGCTGACATTGGAAAGCTCATGTTATGTCAAGCGAGATAATTTCTATGAAACATTTCCCGAAGTCTTTGTTCCGGTTACCGGTCATGCGCCCATTACGATAAAAGCGGGAAACGCCTGTAAGTGCTGTATCTACATTTTGGAGAGACATTCGAGAGTTTTCCCATGACGCAACCTCCTCAAGGCTGCTCTCTTGTATGTGTTTCTCTTTTCTGCTCAAACCGCGTCTTTGTCAGATGGCGTTCATCGCCCCCGCTGAGTGGGTACGAAAACATCCTAACGTGCTGTTCCGCTAATGCCGCAAGAGCCGCTTTAACGATTCAACAGCTCCATTCTGACAAGCGTCGAAAAGAATATTAGGATTGGACTTTCTGGAACTTAGTATATCTACTCGAAACTCCGTTGGTTTACCTGAGTATCTCAAGCTGTATATTCCCTCGGTCGCACTGGATGCACATTTGACTACCTTCCCGCATACTACCCTGCTTTGACTATCAATACCAAGGAAGCCTATGCCACAGACAGTGAGCCAGCATGATAATGGACGAAAAGCTATCGATTGGGAATGGTCGATCTCTGCCACCACTACTACCTCATCCCTCGGACTACGTTGTCGACTTCGATGGACCTGAGGATCCTGAACATCCATACAACTGGAGTCTCTCGGCCAAGTATGCCGCTATAACCGACCATACAAACACTGGAACATCGATACTAATATCACTTCAGGCTGTTCGCCTCTATCCTCGTATGCTCCGGAACGTTTATCGTGTCCTTTACCAGCGCCGTCTTCGCCCCGGGAATCGACGATGCCAGCAAAGAATTCGGCGTCTCATCTGAAGTTGGAACCCTCGGTACAACACTGTATGTCCTTGGCTTCAGCTCCGGTCCATTAATCTGGGCCCCCGCCTCAGAGCTCAGAGGCCGCAAGTGGCCCCTTACCATCGCCATGCTGGGTGGTGGGATCTTCACTATCGGCAGCGCAGTTGCGAAAGATATTCAGACTCTCATAATCTGTCGGTTCTTTGCTGGCATGTGCGCTGCAAGCCAGCTCACTGTTGTGCCTGGTGTGTTATCCGATGTTTTCGATAATAGATTCCGCGGGGTGGCAATCACGCTGTATGCATTGACGGTCTTTGTTGGGCCATTTTGTGCTCCATTTACGGGTGGATTCATCGCGACCAGTTATCTTGGTTGGCGGTGGACTCTCTGGATTCCCGCGATCCTGAGCCTTTTCAATGGAGCCATTTCGCTGCTGTTTTTGCGGGAGACTTATGCGCCGGTCATCCTCATCAGCAAGGCATTTCACCTGCGCCGACAGACGGGGAATTGGGGCATCCACGCCAAGCAAGAGAAGATCGAGGTTGACCTTAAAGAAATGATGGAGAAATATTTCACGCGACCATTGAGGATGCTGATCACGGAACCTATCATCCTTCTCGTGTCGACGTACATGTCGTTCATCTATGGGATCGTCTATGCGCTGCTCGAAGCGTATCCCTACGTCTTTGAGGAGATATATGGCATGAAGCCGGGTATCAGTGGTCTTCCATTCATCGGACTTATTGTCGGACAGATTCTCGGCTGCAGCTTCATTCTTTCACAGCATGGGACTTATATTAAAAGATTGGTTGAGAATGAGGGTGTGCCGGTGCCAGAATGGCGTTTACGGCCTACCATTATCGGAGCTCCTGTCTTTACGATGGGTATTTTCTGGTGTGTTCTTGATAAAACGACCGCCATGATTCATTTTCTGACCTTCTTTGTTATAGGTTCGGCTGGACTGGTTTTACTGATAAGATCCATTGGGCTGCGCCTTCGGTGGCTGGAGTGTTCATCGGATTCGGGGTGATATGTGTCTTCCTGCCGTGCTTCGCCTACCTCATCGACGCATATCTGCCACTGTAAATTCATGACCCTTCCAATTGCCGATTCAAAATGACTGACTTTATTTCCACAGGGCCGCATCAGCGGTCGCTGCAAATATTATCCTCCGATCGGCGGTCGCTGCAGGATTTCCTCTCTTTTCCGAGCAGATGTTCAAGAATATGGGTGTCCAATGGGCTGGAACTCTGCTTGGGTGCCTGGCTGCAATCATGATACCTATTCCTCTTCTATTCAGATCTTACGGGCCTTTGCTGAGGAGTAAGAGCAAGCTCTTCCAATAGGGGCGAGTGAGGTCTCTTCCAAAAACATAGTGCACAGCTGCAAAATAGATTTTAGACGCATGTAAAATTTAATAGATGATCATTCAAAAATTATTCAACACACATAGTAATATGGCCCCAGCCTTCAGACACATCAATAGCTTGAGTATGCCTTCGCTCTGAGTTTAGCGCCATAGTACCAGATCACCAGCGGGGCAGGAAGCCCAAAAACCAGCCCGATTAGACCAATAGTAGTATTTCCCCATCCATACCCAAGAACTTGGTACATCCGAGGTGCGAAAAGAGGGAACAAAAACGCAGTCAGGCTGCGCAAGAATTGCGTCGCACCGCCCGCACTACTGGTATGTTGAGGGTACGCCTCCATGACATACGCCTGCAACGGCATACTCGTGATTTGCATCCCAAGCATGGTGATAAACACACCAATGTCGACAACGATCCAATGCAATCGATAAGTCGCGGCCCAGCCATAAATAAAAAGACCGAGGGGCCCGAGGAGAGCACCTGGGAAGATGGACGGTGTGCGCAGCTCGGGACTGTGTTCTCCATTGGCGCGTGCTTTGAGGCGATGGTATAGACTGTCCATCAGCTTGGCACATATCTGGCTGCCGATTATCTCACCCAGAGCAGCGGCGATGTAGTGAAGACCACTGATCTCAATAGACTCGTGATACTGGTGGGTCCACAGGTCAGAGAAGGTTGACAGAACGATGTAAAGAATGCCGTAGTAGAATGCAGAGATCAAGGACGCAATTTGGATGATTGGGTGGAAAGCGAGCAGGCGGACTGGCCTGATTAGAGCTCTGCCTAAAATCCCGATCGCTGACTTGTTGGCGTGAATGCGCTCATCTGCTGTATAGTACCGCGAATCTCCGGTTTCCTTCCGAATCTGCTCTGCTCGTTTTCGAAGAATCAATGGTTCATGCGTCTCCCAGAAGGAAAAGAACGAGACCATAACCATGACCGCTTGGAAGATTGAAGTGGACCAAAACATCCACCGCCATGTCGCTCGCTCTGCCATGAAACCACCGATGATGGGACCTGAATGTGAATTTCACTATCAGCACGTGCATCTCTCAGAGATCTATAAACATCAATCTAACACATACCGACAGCTGCGCCCAGCAAAGGGATCAACAAATAAACACCAAGTGAGCGACCTCGCTGCTCGGGACGCCACACATCGCCCAGAACACCATTAGCAAGCGCATAAACCGCACTAGCACCAAAGCCCGCAAAGAAGCGAGATGCTATCAAGACCCCTTTGTTAGGTGCAAAGCCGCAGGCAATGTTCCAGATCAAGAACCAAATATTCGAGGCATGTAGAATCGGCTTCCGACCATATACCTCCGACAACGGTCCTATCACCAGGGGCCCAAATGCCGTCGCAAGAAGATAGATTGACAAGGCCATGGCGGACTCGGCCGAGTTCATGTCGAATTCTTTCGCGATTGTCGACAAGGCAGGTGCCATGATGGTCGACACCATGATGCGGTTGAAGCCTGTAGCAGAGAGAACGTCGGTGACAGCCCACTTCCGACTACTTCGCCAATCTTTGGGGTTATCTGGATCGAAGGGTGCTGTAAATACGACTAAGAACGGGTCATCCTGTTTGCTGCCGATTTGGATCGGTGCTAGTTCCACGTCCATGATAGCGTCGGCATTGGCTTCAGTAGCGTGATTGAAAGTCATTTTTCATTGGAAATGAATTCATTCTGGCGGGTGAAGGAGCCGAATATCAATGTTGTAAGATCTGATAAGGCTCGGGGAACAAGTTCCAACTCCGAATCTAAGGCCGAGCAGGGGTGTTATTGGGTCGGCTCCGACCGCGTTGCCCTGCAGAGACCCCAGCGTTGAAGCCTATTCGGTGGGAGTTTTAATAAGGCGTGGGTCGAGTCGGCAAGTTTGGTGTCCGCTCCGAAAATCCGAATCCATCTTCCGTAGCTCGGCCTCTGTTCTTTTCTAGATGATACCAGCCTTTGATAGCTCCAAATGCAGATTCGTGTAGACACCCCCACCCTTGAGCGTCACTAGGCCTACAAAAAACGGTATAGTTCCAATTGTATACTATAGACGAGGAAGTTCCCCGTTTAGTCAATAAATTGAATTCTGTACATCCAACCTCCTCTAATCAGTATTGCTATCATAGAAACTATTCGCAGTCCATCCATTGACCGCCGTATAATCCGCCAATGGCGAAGTACCCTTCAACGTCTCATAGTGCCTACGAGGCCCACACTCCCTCAATTTGCTCTCCTTCGCATTGACACACCGGTTCTGCATAATAGCCGCAATATTGCGACCGGCATCTTGGCCCTCGAACCAAGCTCCGTGCAAGAACCCAAAGTAAGTGGGGCTGGTAGCCTCGCCCGCATACCAGAGACGATCGTTGTTCGCGCGCAGGTTCTCGTGCATCTCCAGGGTCGTCGAAGGCGGCCAGTTGGAGTAGCTGCCGTAGGCCCAAGGCTCTGTGCTCCAGCGCGGGAAGAGGAAGGAGGTTGGTTCGGGGATATTCTTGTCCGGCCACATCTTGCGGAGGACGTCCATGATTTCCGCTTTGGTCTTTTCGTCGCCTTGGCGTTCAGCGCGCCAGGAGAATTCGTTGGTAACGGTTACAAACATTATGTTCGAGTCGGGGAGGAATTCTGGCATTGAGAGGGATTGGAAGACAGGGTACCAGCCGCGAGTGGTTGGGTCAGCGTAGAGGAAGTACTGGGTATCTGTGGGCCAGAAGGTCTCGTTGAATTGCATGAAGATTTTGGTGTATGTGCCCATTGTGAATTTCTGGATGGCTTCTTGTTTCCAGTCCGGGAGCTTGGGAGTGAACTTTACGGCGTCATTCTGCAGGACGCCGAGGGAGAAGGTGCAGATAGCGTATGCTGCGCTAACACAGCTGCCATCGCTGTTGTGGATGGTGACGCCGTCTTTGGAGTACTCGATTTCCTCGACTTGGGTGTTGAGGTGCAGGCGCGGGTCATTTTTCTTCAGAAATGTGGATGCCATTTCCTTGATGAGGATGTTGAAGCCACGCTGGTCGGTGACGAAATTGTCGTGGTCACTGAACGTGTTTGAAGTCAGGTTGTCACCTGCACAGCCGAAAACGAGAGAGCTCTCCAGCGGGGTGAAGTTGTCTTCAAAGTCTGTGATCGACTGGTCAGTAAACAGTGACCCCAGGCCTGTACAAGCGTAACTTACCCCATTTCCACCAATCAACCGCCTGGGCCTCCATATCATGCTTCTTCGGGTTCCATCCAGCCAGCGCCATACCGCTCTGAGCAGACTGATCCTGCAAGTTCTGGGACAGGATCTCACCGGCTCTCATGTTGGCAATATCATAGGCATTATCATACTCCTCGAGCAGATGACTATAGTCCTTATAGCCATGCTCGTTGTAAGTCGAGATGTTGTCATAGTTTGAGTAATGAGTCTTCAGATGATACTTCTGGGCCTGTGTAATAAATCATATTAGGACTAATGGCACAAGTCCACGGACACAGTCAACACCTACCAAGGTCCAAATGGGATTCTGAGGCCCGCCCGGGTTTCCAAGACCTTGGACCCAGTTGGCACCCATCTCAATGGTATAAGGCTTGCCATCTTTATCTTCGCCGAAGGGAACATGCCACGCGCGACCACCAATGGTATCTCGATACTCGAGAATGGCAAAGTCGTGTACCGAGGCATTATGCAGAGCTTGCTAAGAAAAACAGTTAAATCACGATCAATGCACGCAACCATTAAAAACAAACCACTTACAGCAGCGGAGATACCGGCTATTCCACCTCCCCTTTGCGACGTTAATTTCGCACCATAGAACACACCTTTTGCATCAAATCAATACTTACAGAATAGCAACAGTAGTCTTCTTGCATTGTCCCTCTTGAGCCCTGGATGAGTGAGGCACAGCCACAACAGGCTGAATAGCGCCAGCCAAGGCCGCCAAGAAAGAGAATTGGTGCAGATGCATGACGTCGAAAGAGTTGACCCTAGGAGAGAGCCTAAGAATGTGGGAGCTACGACCTTAAATAAATACCGTGAGACATGCATACCTTACGACAATGACTTCGGGCTGCCATTATCGATAACCGAAAAAAGCCAAGAGGCAATAGCAGCGTTGGAGTGATCGACAGGGTCATTGTAACCTCTGCAGCACCTAAACTCCCAAGCGTTCCGCGATCGGGTAGGTACACCCGGCGTGGAGCTTTATTTGCTTATCGCTGGAAATCTTGGAAATGCATGTGTCCACTATGACGAGAGTGTTTTCTCGTGGTGAGGATGTTTGCTGTGGGAGGGTGGTCTTTCCTCCCCGCATCCCCGGATTGTTGATTGTTGATTGTGGTTCTCATTACGTATCGATTGGGGCTCGCTTGCAACCGAAGACGAGTTCTTACACGCGTGCCAAGATATTCTTGGCTCGGCGGGCGTATAATTACCCTGCGGCACGACGAGCAAAGTGTGAAAAAAAAAACAATGGTAAGTGGCTATTCGAAGATACTTAAGATACGAGTAACTCAACCGATGAACCAGGAATTCTCATGGCTCCCAAAATAAAAATATAAGGATGGTACAAGTGAGTTGAATAGATGATGAACTCCGCCAAGCTATGCAAGATAAACCCATTGATCAGATGAAATGCGATGCCGAAGATTACCCAAACGCCAATATGAGGCGCAAACCTTCCGCTCCTAAGACCCACACGGGATGGGGGCCGGAAGCAACTTTGACGCCGGTAGAGAGGGAAATTAAAAGAGAGTCTTTCTGTACACAGGTCGCTTGCGTCTACCGGAAAGTGTAGGACGGACGAACCATCTTCACAGTTTCCGGTTTTAATGACAGTTGCTGATAGGGCGAGCTGCCAGGATCGTAGTAGAGACCCTCAACCTGACCGTCATCACGACTGAGAGAAATATAGTAGAACCCGGATATTGTGAGACCCTGACGCGAATCGGTGGGAGTGATGAAGCACCGTTCTGGAATAGTGTTAATTAAAACGCGGGGGAGAGAAGAAAGTGCTGCTTGGGGCATAGACTTACCCTTCCAACGCATCAGGATCCACCCCTTCGCCAATTCCTCGGTGATCCATTTCCTACTGACGAGGTTCTTGGAGATCTCGGTATCTGTGAGGTCTTTGAACGGCTGCAATTCTCGCCAGTACGTGCTGTCGATATCGGCGTCCGCTTTGAAGTTCTTTGTCTCCAAAGTGTGCTTGTTGAAATCGATGATTTCACCTTCCAGGAATGTCACGATGTGCGCATCATGCGTGGGTGATGTCTTGTCGGGAATGTTATAGGCCTCCATCGTACCCGACAGAGTCATGTCCTCGTAGTTGATGTTGTGAATGGTGACTTTTACGGGCCAATTCTCGTCTCGTGTATTAGCCAGGTATCGTCGTCCGGAGGTGGTATGTACACTGATACGTGCGCTGCTATCGCTGCTGTTGACAATCACCGGTTCACTAGGGCCGTGTGGGCTTGAAACTCGCTGAGACAGCACAGGGCAGGTGGCATTCGCCGCCCGTTGACAACCCGAGAAGATGGCTCCGGGTCGAAGCCAGGAGCAGGTCGCTGGCGGTGCGATGCTACTAGTCTCAAGAATAAAGTCATTGTCCTTCCATGAGAAGTTGTCTAATGAGATGAATCCGGTTGCGGCGGCCGAGCTGATACTTTCTTCGAAGGAGTTTGAGTAGCGGAGACGATCGAGATAGTTGATAGTATTTTTCAACATCGAGTCTGCAGAACTTGTTGAGTGAAGCTGGCGATGTGCAGCAGCTCGAGCGCGCAAGTCGCTGTGGGTGAGAACGCGCTGGGAGTCGCCCCGGCTGGAAGGACGGTATCGGTATGCCCTTGACGAGGACGAAGCACCTGTTCGCTCGGTTTCTTCCGCATTATCACTTGAACGAGTATACCGATCCAGCAGATAACTCTCTAGGGTTCTATTCCGCGGTAACCTGGGATGTGGCCTCATCGACTGCAACAGGGCTTCCATAGTCGGGATGGGCGAATCCCGAGATCGACTGCTTCCTTCTGACGGTTCATCTCCATTTGATATCGGCGGCGTGCGACCGGTGGGCAAGGATTCGCGTGCTCGAGTTGACGATACATTGTGGATTGAGTAGCCGTGGGGGAACGGTTGGAGTTGTAGCTGGTCGTCTTCCGACTCTTCAAGGCGACGGGGGTCTTCATCTTCATCATCGGAGCCGGGGGCCCAGCCGTACAAAGACCGTGGATTTGTTCGGCGACTTTCGTAGTTGGGCATATTGTGAGAGTGGGGATGGTCGCGCTGGCGACGAACGATAGGGATGCGACGGTTGATTTCCACGGATAGGCGAAGGTCAGGTTCGTCAATATCCATGCGATCCCACGGATCTTCGTCATCCATGGGCTGGGGATTTGGTTGATAGCGCCGACGGCGGTGTCGGCTGAGTGAGGGTAATAGGGGATTGTAGAGAAGGGAGCGAGAGCGGAGAAAGTTCACATTCTCGTCATGAGCGTTATCGTTCTCCGCAGAGCCTGGGGAGGCAAATGACGATCGCGATTGATCCGAGGCAGTGGGCGATAAGGCAGGAGTTCCGTGCTAGAACCAAGGGCATTAGTTCGAGCGCGAAAGGTCAGGAGATCAGGAAATCAGGGTTGGACACCCGGAGACCCGGAGACGGAGAGCAGGAAAACAAGAGACGAAGTCTTCACGTACAGAAGCCGAGTTTGGAGGTGGCATCCTCAAAGGGTGTTAAGACCGCAAGGAGGCGCTCAGATCGACATATGCGAACACAAGTCAAGGGTTGAAAGGCGTCGAGATCAGATCTGAAATCGGGAGCCGAGGCGAATCTTGAAGGGGCGGATCCTCGATCCTTGATCCTTGAATTGGGGTGGAGAAGCACAACATGACGTTTCCCCTTCAGCCGAGACTTGCTTCTCTTTCAATTACTATTTCTTTATGACAGTAAAAGCGAAAGTGAATGGGGAAGAGCTGAATGTACTCCACACGCCACTGCCCAGGCCTTCTATTCTTCTATTGCAGGGAATCTCCTGGACTAACATCGACTAACACTGACCAACACTGACCAACACTAACCGGCTTCAGATACATCCGGTACATCCAAAATCATCCTAGTGTCCACTCTACACCTAGAGGACTAAAGACTGGAGACTACATTGGTCCCTTTGTATTTACTACGTCTCGGTGAGTGCTGGGGCCGATATCCCCGGACTATACCCCGAGACCCTAGAAATTGGTGGCAGCTGCCCCCGCGCTGTTTCTTCGGCAACCCGTCTGTCTAGGGAGCATATTCATTGGCAGGAACTCGTGCAACTCATGTGTAGTTATAGCCTAGGAACCGCAGATCATAAAATCTAGCGAAATCTAATTTAATACAGGGACCATCTAATCAAGCTTATTTGGCACGAGCAGCATTGCAATCATCAGCCAGTTGAACACAATCGCTGATCAGGTTCCAGAAAGCTTCCAGGTCGACACCTCTGGGAATCGCTACACCAGGCCCGTCAAGCGGCGTAGCGATTGAGCGTCCCAGCTGACCACTAATCGAGACATCTGTACTGTGTTTGCCATCGGTGACAATACTGAGAGCAAATCGCTCCCCACCCTTATCATCGAAATGAAGGACCTGGCCAGGGTGTGCCTTTGCAAATGTAGGGTTCAAATTGGACAAAATCACAGCAACTGCGAGCGGGTCGTGGAGTGGAGGACCAGCCATCAGTCCAAAGACGTTTTCATATGTGCCCGCAAAGAAGATTAGCAGAGCATGCAAAATCTGGCGAATGATCGTTGGTTCCTTAGATGAGTCTCTGGCACCGTGCAGGATCCGATTCTGCACTTCTTTCGATGCAAAGACTTGATGTGTCAGATCCAAAGCAGCAATGGTAGTCTTGGGTGCAACGATTGGGTTACTAAAAATTGACTCCGCGGCTTCGGGATCACACTGCAAGGAAAGCTGGTTAGATCTGGCCGAGATAAATGCTTCAGGGTAATACAAACATAAACGTTGAACTCGGCCCAAGGCGTCACGTTTCCGATGCGGGACTCTTCGCCTGGCAGTCTGCTCATTGGGGCATCTGTGAAGCCGTCGCCGATGGCACCGCCCATAATGCTTAGACCTTGGATATGCTCCGCAACCTCCGGGAATGTTGCGAATAGCAGGGCGACGTTGGTTAAAGTTCCCGTTGCAACCACCCAGGGGGTGCCTTTAGGTTGTGCTAAAAGAGCATCCCGCATGGCTAGGATTGGATTCACATCTCTGATAGCAGGTTTGTAGACCTTCGGGAGAAGGTCGGTGCCATCGAGGCCAGATTCGCCTTGAAGCGTTCCAGTCAGAATGCCATTGCTTCATTACATGCTGCAAGCTTGATGGTGATAGTTCTTACCATGGATATCTGGGGCATGAAGAGCAGGTCGAGAGAAGGGCTTCTGGCTTCCAGGATAGACGGCAACATCTGGTCTGCCGATTGCTTCCAATATACTTCCGGCATTGTTGGTTGTATTCTCCAAGGAGGCGTTTCCATGGATGGATGTGATACCAAGAAGATTCAATGATGGATGGTGAGCAGCAATCAAGATAGCAAAAGCATCCTGGGTCAAGTATCAGTACCTCTCAAGTCTTGATAAGAGTATCATGCACGTACATCATGACCTGCATCGAGTTAGAAAGATATGCATATGCTTAAGGGACAGAAGAAGCAGCACACCAGGATCGCAGTCCAGCCAGACGGGAGTGAGAGTTGTATTAGTAGCCAACATTTCCAGAGAACGATGAACAAGCAACAGGAGAAATGGAGAGTCCGGTCAACAAGACATTGGAGTCTCCCCGCATCGCGATAAGCCCCTTATCTCGGCCCTAAGCCCTACTTTCCTAATCGGGTGGTCCCATGTCATCAACTTCGCGGTGAACGCGACAGCTTCATTGTTGAACGAACTGGGAAGGGTGAATCCCTTGAATTGCGCGCTCTTAATCAAATCAAACCCGCCGAGACTCTGCTCTATTGTGATGCCATGACTGAGTCTCTTCGCCCCGGCTTGCAACCGGTGTCTCACCTCAAGGCAGGGCCGACCACATCAAGCTCCAGGTCAACCGCGCTGCATTCTCCAACCAAACAGTTCATCTCACGACCCTCCTCACGACTTCGCATGCAAAAGCCTACCACTCGAGAGGAGCCGCTCGACGCAACAAGCGAGAAAGCGACCCAAGCCTTGATCCGACGCGTCCTTTGTCCTTCGACAAGCAGCCACGGCGCATCCTCTCCGCAGCCTCTAGAAGAGCTACTACCCCCTCTCACGAGCTCTAATGACGTTGACCGTCAACTTTACGCCCTACTCGCCATAATAATCAAGGACTTCGTCTACTCTTGGTACTCGAAAATTACCCCGGATCAGGCTTTCGTCAACGAGGTTCTACATGTCGTTGCACACTGCACCCGTGCTTTGGAACAGCGGTTGCGCCAAGTTGATGTTGCACAGCTGGCCTTGGATGAAGTCCCAGCTTTGGTGGAAGCACATATAATTTGTAAGACCTGGCTGCCTTGTATACATTTCTGGCGGTTAGAGTCGGGATGGCTGGAGTACCACTGCTAATTACCTGGGAAAATAGCATACAGATTGGCCAAGAAGAACTCCCATCTGTCCGGGCTCTCGACGTCGCATCGTGCACTCTACCATGAAATAAATCCTCATCCTGGTCTATCGCCTGTCCCGGATTCTCAAGATCCTGATACAATCACCGCGCAGAGTGAGAATGAAGCTGCGTACCGCAAGCTACTTGCCAGCGGCATCCTTGCAGTTCTTCTGCCCACGGAGGATCTAGAGAACAGCAGTCTGCGCACACTGGTGGGCGATATTCTATCAGATCTGATACTTGGGAACCAGGTCTCCGGCAAAATATGCGAAGGAGTATTCTTCTGGGAAGTCATCACTAAACTTGCCACTGTAGCGAGACAGCGTAAAGACGGAGTGAACAAAGCAGAATCCACGAATGATACTCCACCCAGCCGATTAGAGCAATTCGGCCTCCTTGGACAAGACGATTCGACAACCCATCAGCCTACCCAATCGCAACTTACTGTCTGGATATGGAACGTTCTCCAGAGTGTCTATCTTGGTTACGTCGCCTTGCGTTTCATTGCGACGGGCCTGTTCCGGGTCGCATCGAATCCAGGGCCGGGGTCCTCGCACGGAGCCGGTGTTTCATTTCCTGCTGCAACGCCAGGTTCCAAGAAGGAGGGCGTCGAGTCGTCGTCATACGGCATCACAGGTAAGCGCCCGGTGGTTGACTATCGGGTATTCTCGATGGCATCCACTCTATTTGACATATCGCAACGGATGCCGTGGCTTTCCGGGCTGGTTTCTCTTTCCCAGCACCTGATCCTGGCAGGACCAGGTAGAGTCGGTGACACGGACGGAGTCCTTGACAGGTGAGTCCATTTCATATCTTCGGAGCATTATTACCCTACGGGCTCGGGCCTCCCGAGACCGCATGAACTCTCGACTGTGGAGAAACGGTGCGATCTCCGAACTGCGATCTAAGGGGTCAAGTGTCACTCGTGCGACTCATGGCGGGATGAGGAAGCGTCTTGCTTGCATGCCGCATCGATCACTTGATCACCGTCGCGATACGCGCGATATGCCATGGCCCGGGAATCTTACGAGTACGGTCATCATACGGGACTCGTCATACGTACCGTCATTACCGTTCTGCTGACGGGTCGATTCTGTCATCAGATTGGCTGCCCCAACTTGGTCCGAGCGAGAAGCAGGACAGGGAAGTTGAAGCAGGGGTTCTACGTCTCATTTCTGGCTGATAGCGCCGGGGCCCGGCCCTTTCCGTGCCGTGTTTCCTCTGTCAACGCATTTCGTTGACACTTCACAAAAGAAAAGAAGAAAGAAAAAACACGAAAAAGCAAAGAAGCCTCTGGACAAGACGTATGCAAGCCTGCCGAACCAACGATTAAACTCTACCACTCAAATCGTGCACGAGCGGAAAATCCTCTGGTGCCGATCCATGATGACCATGCCCTTTTGGGCACTTGCATGAAGAAAAAAAAGGCTCTCGCCGAGACAAGCGATTTACCAAGAGCATCCTATCAGCGAAATTCCTGGTAGCGAGATTTCGAATTCGCATTCGCATTTCGACCGAGGTTGGCGCATGAAGCCCGCTTTTGTGCGCCAGGCACCGCTGAGATGTTACCCGCCTCGAGAGGGGAAATGCAATGGACACAGGGTCAGGGCCCCGCCTCATTCTTTCCCTTGAAGGAGTAACATCCCTGTTACACCAATGGCTGGCCCAAGCTCCTCGCTATCCACACCTGGGCCGATCGGCCCCCTCCTCTCTCTCCACTTCCGGCCCTAAATTGGTGAACGGAAAGCTCTTGTTGCCAGGTCAAAGAAAGAGAGCACAACGTTCCCGGGAAGCTCCACAGTCAAGGGATTTTCGCTTCACTTTTCTATTTTGCTATTCGCTCGGGTCATCCGATGTCAATGATATGAGACCTTGCTGACTCGACAGATTCCTCCGAGAAACCATTGAGGATTACGTCCTGCCCCCCACTTTGTTGCCCAACCTTCTTCTCGCAACAAGGTCAACTCTCTTCCCGGCCAATGCCCGCCCATCATCGCTGGGAGCGCCCGTGAATACTGGAGCCCTGGCTCCGACTCCGCAGGTGTCCGTGCAGTCTCCGCCCAGTGGGAAAGCTCTCACCAGTGTTTCCATTCTGGAAAATGTCAGCGCCCCTGCGGGTGCTAGCGATGCAACTGGTAAGAGTAGTGCCGCAAGTAATAGCATCACTGGTGGCGGTGATCAGCCGTCTCCGTCGTCAGATCCATCTCTTGAGACGATCAGCTCCAATGCCACTCCCGGCTCGGAGAAAAGCTTGCGCTCCACGGAGATCGCCTCTATCAAGCGGCGATGTGCAGCTAGCCTACTTGCCGTCATCCCGCCCAGCGTTGCACGAACCTTCTTCGGCTTGGAGCCCAGCTGTGGCAATGATCGTACCTGCAGCGCCGCCACCGGAAGTTCGCCCTCCCTCACCATCGCCTCGCCCCCACCGTCATCGGATGAGAAGGGCGGGGACCACTCGGGATCTTCATTTGGAGCTGAGCAGGCTCAGCCCACGTCGATGCCACAGCCTTCAGCTGCAGTGAATTGCGGTAATGGGGCTGATGGGCGCACGGACGAAGTGGATGCCCAAGTCGACCCGGAAGAAGAGTACCTCCTTCAGGCCATCGAGAATGATCTACTTGACTTGTTGTCTGACGAGTATTGTAACAAGCACCTTGTCTACTCCATAATAGAGACCGTGTTGGCCAAGGTCCTCCCCGAAATGACAGAGCGCGGTGTTGCAGAGCTGATGGAGGATCGTGGAGTGGCTCCCGTGCCTAGCGTTTTCTAGAGAACCTAGAATGAGGGCGTTCCTGCAGGATATCCTTTAGTTTCCGTGGCGATAACCCTAATGACAAATACCTTGGCTACGAACTAAATTATCCTTTAAAGTTTTATCAAGTTTCATCTTAGATTTGACGGACTGGATTATAGCAAAGCGTGTTTGCATGATGCAGAAGAAAAAGATATACCGTAAATTCATATTCTTATATCACCGAACACGATAGCCGGAGTAGTCAATATTCCGATGACTAGCTAGAAAGCAAAATAAAAAGAAAGAAAAGCTGAGCCCGTGTACAAAGGCTCTAGCCAATTATGTTCTTTCCGCGCGAGCGGCCCAGTTTAAAGACTGAAAGAAACAAGAGATTAAGAGAGCGTAAGAAAAAATATGAAGTAAGGAAAACAAACCCCCAGCGCAAAAGCAAAGGGATCAGGAGGAAAACAATAAGAAGAATGATAGTGTGGGTATGCGTGTGTAAACCAAGATCCAAAAGAAAAAAAAAAAAAAAAAAAAGGGGAAGAAAAAAGCAGAAACTGAACAAGTCGTAAGTAAACTCCACAGAACGGCCCCCAAGGCCGATGATCCCATTCTCCATCCGAAGTCCGTGCTATATCCTATTTCGTAAGTGTCACCGGGACACTCAACGGTTCGGCCCAGTTGTAAGCGTGTACCATTGCCGAAATTCCAAATCTCGGGTTGCAAAAGAAAAAAGAAAGTTCGAGGTCGCCCTCTGATGTGGTGTATGTTGGTATTGGTTTTGGGATGTCGCCGATTGGATAGGGAATTGGTGACTGGTCGTACAGATACGATGGGAAAGAAATAATGAAATAGAGAATGAACAATGGAAGATGGAAAGCAAAAATACAGTACCGCCCAGGTGAGAAACGAGACATAACGATAAGGGGGGAATCACAGAATTGCAACATGAGAGCGTTAAGAAAAGTGTTGAGTGCAGGGGATGACGACAGAGGGGAAGAAGAGATGGAGCAAATACATGCAAATATTCTCTGTCGATATTGGGAGAATCAGCCCAGGTTGTGGATGCTCCTTTTCTTGCTTACGCGTGGAACATCGTCGTGCTCGTCGATCCGAGTTAGGCCTCCCAGCAGCGTGCTCTGGTGGCTCTTGGCCAACTCGAGACGTTCCATGAGTTTGCCGATGGTCATGAACTCCTGAGCTGCGAGACCGGCTGGTTGGTGCTGGAAGTAGTTCATCACGAGTTCGAGAGCACTTCGGGCCTCATCCTGAGTTGGAGAATTCGGAGCACCTCCCGCGCTGATGGGCGAGGTGGTGGTGGACTTGGAGACCGACGGAGGTGGCTGCATGGAGGTAGTTTTGATCTCTGGGTTGCTGCGATTGCGTTTGATGACGGTCGGAGGGTGAGCGCCTTTGATGGTGCGAGATTGGTGGTCGTCCAGTTCTAGCGGTGACTGTAAGATGGTGACTCCAAGGTGGGAATCGCCCTCGGTCTTGGTGCAATGCGAGTCCATTGACTCGTCTGCAGTAAGCAGATTTGGGTCGACAGGGATTCCGAGGGTGAACGTCTGGCTGCGTGGTCGGCTCATATTATGTCCAGAGGGCAGGCGTGCTTGACTGGTCGGAGTGAAAGGGCTATCAGAGACCATCGTTGATGTCGGACTGGTCATTGCCGTCGATGAGGTGTCCAACGAGGTGGTGCTTTTGGAATGTCCGTGTTGGTAGCCTCCTGTCAGTTCGGGAACTGCGTCTGCCTCCTTCTTGATAATGTGGCTTTGACTGGGAGATAGAGGCGAGGCCAGTCCATTGGGAGGGGAACAAGGCGAGTGGCTAGCTGATGAAGCACAGTCCGTGTTGATGCGCGTTGGGCTATTTGACTCGCTCCTGATGCCGATGGAGCCCTTCCGGGCCTTTGCGCCGAGTAGACCGTTCTTCTGCTTGAATTTCTCGAGCCAGCTCGATGTCAACACCTTTTCTTTGCCTTCAGGGCAGCCACAGGTGCTGGCAAAGAAGAGGGCTTTCTCTCTGATCATCTCGTCGTTTAAGGCTTGTCCAAGGCGCTGGTAGTTCCGCGCCCAGTTGACTAGGGCTTTTTCGATATCCGGCACCCTACCCTTTGCGCGCTTGATGGGCGATCGACTTCCATCGTCAGGGTTAAGGTACTTTTCTTTCTGGCGCAGGACCTTGGAAACCGTACTAAAAGGATACGTTAGGGCAAATGGCGGCAAAATAGACCACGTTTATAGTTACCTTCGTTCGACTCCAAATAGCGCTGAAACACACACGAGTCAATATAATTCCATATAGCGCTCACGGGTAATATCGCCTTACCTCCAATATCAGTCTGCTTGGCAGTCTTGTTCTCTTCGTGGTATAAACACATGTTACGACGGTCTTCATCGGTAAGCGTCCTCCGCGGGGTAGAGCCACCGGTAGATGACTTTCGGACCGGCATCGGGGCAGAGGGAGAAACGGAAGTCGGGACGGGTGCAGGTGGCATGCCATTTTCGTGAAATGGGGATTGGGTGGTAAGCATGCTAGGCCACGAATGCGAGGGCATGGGTAGTGGCATCGAGGCGTATGGCGGGGGGATCGACATGTTGTAAGAACCATCTACCGCCATCAGTGACGGATGGTAGTCGAATCCGCTATATTCGGGCATAGGCGGCGAATGTTGCGGTGAGGTGAAGGCGCCCAGCTCGACCCAGGGCGAATGTGGGAATTCGCCTTCCGGCGCATGGTGAGATTCAGTTTCCATGGTGGACGAGTCCTCCATAGACAATAGGAGGTACCTAGGGACTTGGTAGGCCCGAGCGGGACAAGGTGTAGGTAAAAGAGATCGAGGATTCAACCGTTCGGAAGAACAATGCGACGGTTTTCTAGAGGTGAGACAATGGGGGATTATGCATGTTCCACCGTACCGAGGCCACGAGTATATATAAAAAAAGAGCAGCCTCTGAAACAGGAGCCGAGTGACAAGCGACAAGTGGCTGGGTTGAATGGTAAACGGTGGGGACAAGCTACCTAGGTAGGGTACCTGGGAAGGGAAGAGTATACAATATGCAAGAAGTGATAGAAGGGGAGCACGCATGCGGGTAAGGCCACAGAGTTAAATGGAAAATCAGGGCCACCAAGACACGGCGATCAAAATCGCGTGGATTGACAGAACGACTTGGATCTCGATTGCAACTGGCACGAGAAGGGCACAAGTCCGGAGAAATCCATGATAACCTTCTGCTCCGAGTAGAATCCAGCCTATCCAGACCGTGATTGGCTCGTATACTAGAAAAGCCATCCGACTAGGGAATAATAATCGAAATTAAAAAAATAATAATTAAAAAACTTGATAATTTCAGATTTACGCAGAGCAAATAATTCGAAAAACACCCCGGTCCATGGAGGGGGAGACGGCGTATGGTTGGTCCAAAGCGCGATATATTGCGGCAGGGGTTGCATCTCATCAGGCCCCATTAGTAGAACGTGTCATTGTATTACATCGGACGCGGTACCGTATCGAAAGTCTTCTTTCTGTAGGCAAACGCGGGATTTCCCAGTTGCTGTGGTGTAGTATGATATGATAGTCGACATTCCGTATTTTCATTTTTTTTCTTTTACTCAGCATCATGTTCCATATCACTTTCCTCGGCCGGAAATTTGGGGAATTGTTCAAACCCCATCTCTCGCTTGGGGTATAGTTTTGCGAGCGTTGGGTACCCAAAGAATCCACCAGCGATCCTTGGTAGCTAGGATGGACCGGTCCTTCCGGGTACCATGGATCAGCTGTGTTTAGCTGTGTTTGGTTTCTGTACTATTCGCTAGGCGACGCTCAAGTTTCGCTCTGACGGCTGTCGCACTCTTCAGCATGACTGGTGGGCAACGGCAATCTCCATGAAAATTTGGTCCAAGACCACTGAAGCAGAGTCGATCATCCGGCGCACCGAACAGGCAGGAGTTCCTTCTCAAGAGGCAAAGGGAATACGGTCTTCGATAGATGATTTGCTGGGGACCAGATAGCGGATCGATAAACCGCTGAACCTAAAGACCGCATGACATCCGCTGTGTAGGTCTGGAGGCCGATCAAGTGGACCGAGAGCCTAGGAGCGAATGCGGCGGTGCTGACTATCGTTTCATCGCCCACTCCATTTTTGGATGCTCCAACGGTCAATTTACCAAAGCGGCCAAAGAGAGCATGGCATCCATGTTCTGGCCCATCTCCATGTGATGTCTCAAGGGGACTGGGCTGAAGGGGGGGGGGAGCACGGTGCATCGCCTCGTGAAGATGCGAATGAGAAGACCGAGGGCCAGATCTTCGTCATGACTGGACTCCGACTGGAAGGCAAAATGGGATGTCCTCAACCCCAACAGGGCGAGGGGGCGGAGGGACTATTGCCACATTGGGGAAGATGGATCTTTGAAGGACGTGCCGATCTCCCTCGTTGAGTCGAGTTGCGACGAAATGACACGGCTAATAGGCAAATGAAGAGCAGCATGGATCCAGTCCATCTGGACGAATGGCCCACGACCATTCGCTCATCCATGGTACGAAGAATACAAGGGCCGAAAATGGTGGCCGAGGCTGGCCCTATCACAGGACGGAAAGGGCGTCTCGGCGAAGAGGGGAACTCCCTTAGTCTCCCTAATGATGCGATCGTGCTTTTTCGGCGCTAACTCAGCCCTCACTCGACCCACTGCGGTCCTCGCGGCCCGGAAACCTTCAGTAAGGAATGTCCTGTAGCCTGAATATGCAGTGGAGCCGACCATGATGGAAATAATCGGGGGAGTCATAGGGTGGGGAGCCAGGATTCGGGGGCTCCGTACTCACCGACTATAGCGTTGCTCATTATCGAACAGGATTCATAAGCCAAAAGATTTGCATGCGGTCTGTATCCAATACGGCCGTACGATAATACTAAGAATCAAATTTTTCTTGTAACTATGATGGTGAAAAGGACACCCCGCTTGTTCGACAAAAACCACGAGGTATTGAATGTACAATTGGACCATGAACTAGACGCTCATCTCTCAACAATCGAATCATCGAAGTCAAGCCGACGGCACGGCAAGCCAAGGGATCTGACAAATAATTAAATGCTACTTAGAGTATGTTTGACGGTCAAGCCCATCAGGCGCGCCAATCATCCTGCTCAAACCCGTCGGTCTTTTGCTACTTTGCACCAGTCAGATTGCGCAGGACAGAAAAAAAACAAGTCCGCCCATCTTTTCCCTTCCGAGAGAGGTTTGTTGAAATCGCTTTAGATCAGCGCAAATGCGCATCTGTGAGCTGACGCCATCCTTTTCTTCTTTTTCTTTTTCTTTTTCCTCTCCCGTTGTTTCCTCTCTTAAGAGGACGAGATTTTTTTTTCGGCTGATCGGTAGAAGCCTATGGTGGGCTATTCCGCAATTCTGACTACCGTACCTTGGTACTCTCTACTCCATACGTGCGTTTTGACTTTTGTAATGAGACCGGCGTTCCCCTCTATGTGATTCGGAGCAGAGGAAGGAAGAAGTCTAGACCGGTCAGGATCCCAATCGCTGGTATCCTATGGGCATATCGCGCTTCCATAGTTGCTTCTTCCTGCTCAATCTCATCCACACTTCTTTTTTATTGCATCACCCAATGTCGACCAGGCTGGGTGACAATATCCGGATGTGCAGGTGTAATCCCCGTTAAACTCAGGAACGGGATGCTGAGGGAGGATATGCAAGGATAGCAGCAGGGTTAAAGGTTGGACCCAGTCAGGTACCGATCGACATGAATGATCAAACGGTGCACGAGACGAAGTCTCCTTGCAAACTCGGCCGGTTTCCTACGGCTATGTCGATCGAAGGATACGAAGTGGGGATGAGGCACGAACCGGCCCTAATCTGTATTGTTCCATATCCCACGACTTCCATGTAGGATTCGGGAAACGAACCGTGCCCATGACTCCGGGGAAGGGTATTGCATCCCCGCCTAATGCAATGCAATGCGACGGGGGTGCCCGACGGATCCCACGAGAGGGGACTATACAGGATCGGTGCCGTGGCAGTCACCTGACGATTTTGATTTCTCAATGCCATGAAGGGTACAGGATAAGTGATCCTACCGATCTAGCATCTGCCCACGGACCAGATCGTGAACAGGCCCCGTGAGGTCTAGGCGAGATCGGCGATTTGGGGGAGTCTCAGTCTCCACCTGCCTTGAGCCTTAGCTTCCGAAATGATTTGAATAACCATCTCCTCGGACTAACTATTGGATCTAAATACTTGGAGACTAGTCTACGCCTGTGGTGGCACCCGAATCCCAGTTGATGCCTCCCCAGTACACCAGGGTCGGGGTTTGCTGGAGAACAAGCTAATCAGATAAATATCGTTAACCGAACCAAGATTCACCGCTTGTTGACATCGTGAACCTGAGCCTTCCACTAACTTACGTTCGCCTAGTTGTGGTTTCTTTTTTTTTTTGTTTTTTTGTTTTTTTTTCATTCCCATGGGTTTCCCCTCCTGTCGGAGCGAAATTGCAGCTCGGTGCTCGAGCACCGAGCTGCAACGGTACTTTTGGAGGACGATCCGAATTATGGTAGCGACAGTGGACACGGACATCAAGAAAACGTGCTTCTCAAATTGACATATCATATATGCTTCGCCCCGACGCCTCAACACCCTATCGGATGAGGCCATCATCGTCGGAATTATTCACCCAAGAGCCCTCGATGCGGAGCTTGCGGGTATACGCATCCCCCCGAAATGGAGTCGCATCATGATCACCGTTGCCGAGTCAGCACGGGGACGGAACCTTGGAAGAGTCAACTTCTCCGTAACTAGTGGGAGCTGTGATTAGCAGCGGGTCAGTGCACCGGGTCGCGGCCCTTCTCCTGTACGGCATGCACACCATACTTGCCTTTCCAGACCCGTTGAAGCTATCCAGTGTCCGCGAGCCTGAGACAAGAAGTTGTCGAGCTTAGACCGTGGCCGGCGGCAGATCGGCAAAAAGGGGAAATCGAGGGGCCCTGTTCCAGATTGCCCTGGGCACGGGGCTTGAGAGGGGGGAGGGGGGTGTATCCACGCTGACCCTGTCTCGCTAGAGATCCAGCCACAGAAATCCAGTCTGACTTGGATGACAGGAGTCAATCGGTGGCAAGACATCAACTTACAATACTAGAATACTAGCAAGGATGTCCGCGCCGGACGGCACAGAAAGGGACCTTGCTCACACGGGATGTATGATGCATGTCGTGCCATGGGTATTCGGTTTTTGGGACCGATAAGGATATCGCCTACGCCTAGTATTTTCCCAAGTAGTATCCAGAGTCATCGCCAATTATATACCGGTGGCTTTATTGGTTGTATACCGGCATGTCCATGCAGGTTGCAGCTCGTGGTTGTTGAGGGGAAAGCGTGGCGTGCTTGACTCTTTGTTCCTGCTGCAGGTCGATATTGAGTGGGATAAAGAGACTTGTTTGGGCAGGAAAAGTAACTAGGAACTATGGTCTAATTCTTTTTGCGACCTACCAGGGTTGTATGCACTAGCGGACTCGTTCAACATGAAGACCTCGATCTAGAACTTCTTTTTTTATATTCTTCTTCTTTGGCTCATCGACAGAAACAAAGAATGTTCCCAATAAGGATATGAATGGGTGATCATAATGACAATATGAACCGGTCGCTTCAAAGGACATCTGGAGTAACGAGAAAACAAAAAAAAGGTAAACCTGGCACCTGCCAAGGCTATCAAAAACAAGTCATGACATCCTCACACCTCGTGCTGCCTCTGAGCAATTGTCGTGACATCTCATATAGCATATGATATCTCCAACTCAACGAGACCCTCGCCAATTCAGCCCATGCTGGACTGGCCACGGCCTCGTGGGACAGGACCAAACATCACAATCAGCAAGCAGCGCACACGCGGCCCGGACAAGGCTCTCCTAGCCCCAGTGATCGAGCCCTCCTTAGCCCTGGGACTCTTGATGCTCCATTCATGAGCGGAAACGATCATCGCGGTCCACTCACACTCGATGCCGTGGCGTCTTACGGGGGCTGTATCCCAAAAGCCGTACCTGTCAGCAAGGCAGGGGTAGAAGCATCCGGGCACAGGCCACCTGCCACCTCCCAGTGCGATCTAGAGCAGCTTGTCGCTTCCCCCGCGGGCTGAGACGTTCAAGAATGCGTTGTTGGTCCTTTACCGCTTCACAATGGACACTAGAGAATTGTCAGCCTCGGACTTATTTTGATATCATCCAGAAATAGATTAATGGACGTCACGTACCAATATCCTCGTCGGCAAGCTCGTGCGAGAGACCGACGCGCTGGGGCTGATGCTTGACGGATCGGCCGTATACGATGGCGTGCTTGAACTGATCCTTGATCGTGCGGTGAATGGCGTTACACTGCGAATCGTTAGCGAGCATTCACCATATCAGGAACATGTCCTTACGAAGTCTTCCACCGTGCTTCCGGAGGCACGGAGCACAACGGGTGCCGAGTAGTCAGGAGCCTTGCCCTTGGGCTTGGTATAGATTCTTCGCAAGCTGAGCTTCTCCCACATCAGCTCCAGCAACTCGTCGATGTTCCAGCCGTGCTCGGAACTGATGGGAACGGCGTTGGGGATACGGTAAATAAGATCCAACTCCTCGATGGAGATAGCATCGATCTTGTTGAGCGCATAGACAACAGGAATGTAACTGCGGCTCTTCGCCTCCAGAACATCGATCAGGTCATCGATGGTCGCATCGCAACGGATGGCAATATCGGCAGACGAGATCTTGTACTCGTTCATCACAGCTTTGATTTCCTGTTCCTGGAGTCAGCCATTGCCTGCGATAATCACGGTGATCAGTCTTACCTCTTGGCTGATGTTGGTCAAGGGAACAGTGCTCGTGATGGCAATGCCACCCTTGTCCTTCTTCTTGAAGTTGATGTTGGGCGGGGACTTGTTGATACGAATACCGAAGCCCTCCAATTCGTTCTCAATGACGCGCTTATCGACCAGGGGCTTGTTCACGTCGAGAACAATGAAGATGAGATGACAGGTCTTGGCCACAGCAATAACCTGACGGCCACGACCCTTACCATCCTTGGCACCTTGGATAATACCAGGAAGATCGAGAATCTGAATCTTGGCGCCATTGTACATGACCTGACCGGGAACAGTTGTCAGGGTTGTGAACTCGTAGGCGGCAGCTATAAAACCATGTCAGTTTTGGATAACACAGGAACTATCGCTTCGAACGGACCTTCGGAGTGCTGGCCAGTCAGTTTACTCATGAGAGTACTCTTTCCGACGGAGGGGAACCCAATAAAACCACTGCATAGGTCAGTATGAGTATATCGCACGTTGTATATGAATGTAGCGCCACGCGAGTTTGACTTACACACTGGCAACACCAGTACGAGCAACATCGAAACCAGCTGGAAAACGTCATTAGCGACTGAGCGGGCCATGCGCAGTGTCTCATAGAAGCACTCACCACCAGCACCGCCACCACCACCTCCAGTGGGGGTCAATAGCTCGCGCTTGAGCTTAGCAAGCTTTGCCTTCAATTGTCCTTCACCGATCGTCAGCCGTGTCCGCCCATAGTCGAAATGCTCCTTCGGGGGGGTTTCGTACCCAAATGGAAAGAAGTGTTCTTGTTCTTCTGGGTCTTGGCCATCTCGGACTCAATGTCCTTGATCTATAAGCAGACATGAAGTTGTTAGCGATTTTTATCCAGACAATCAAATGCGCGCCGAGCGCACTAACCTTGTCCATTGTGGTCGCCATTTTTGCGTTCGGGGGACTCGACGGTCACAAAAGAAGGGAAAAGGTAGTATAGGTCGACAGAACACAGGAAACGCCTCGGTGCGTCTCCCTTCGCAGTACAAGTGTAGAACAAGGGTTTGAATTGGCGGAGACACAATCTGTGAATTGTGGCACTCCTCCTTACTAAGGCAGGCGGGGTGTTGGCCTCAGGCAAAAAACTATGTCATCGGTCTGGTTTTTTTTTTTTCTAGGCTGCAAGGCATCAATAGCCTTTATCGCTTATCGGAGTCAGGCACGCATGTCTCTATTTCGCCATTTCGGCTCTCAATGATCCATGTCTAGGTATCGGCTGAGTCGGTCTTTGTGTGACCTTGTGTTCCGTACCCGTTTGACTCTCATTTCTTGAGATTAGGTTGCTCCAAGAGCCACGTCCTTTCTTTCATTCATTTATTCTTTTCTCCAAACTTGCCTCCGATAACGCTTTTGCGTCCCGATCCCTCCGATGTGTTGACAGAACAATCTTTCACACGGTTCAGCTTCATTCGCGACTATTGTCTACCATGCCGTTTCTCAGCAATGGTCCCGACTCATCTTTGGAGTCCGATAGGGCCTCTGATGCATTTGAAAAGCTTGTGGAGGACCTCAGTGCGGCCTTGGGTCGAAGCTCCGGTCTCGATGCCGATGATGTTGACCCTATGAACATTCAATTATTAATGGAGAGATATATTTCCAAGCCATCAGAATGGGAATCATATGCTCTAGGTGATGCCACTCGGTCTTACACAAGAAATCTCATTGATGAAGGAAATGGCAAGAGTAACCTGGTGAGTCAATTGATCCTCCGTATCGGTCTACAGGACAATGAAACATCTTAGGGACTTTTTGTATTAATGCACATAAACTTTGCTAGCTTATTCTTGTGTGGTCTCCGAAGAAGGGAAGCGCAATTCATGACCACGCCAACGCACACTGTGTTATGAAGGTAAACACACTTGGGCCCATTTACCTGAACCTCGAACGTTGCGACTAACTGCGTGGCAGATCCTCAAAGGGAAACTCCAAGAAACGCTTTACTCTTGGCCAGACAGAGAAAAGATCGAAAGTGGGCAAACGTCTCCACCACAGGTCACCCGGCAGACAATCTACGGCGAGAACCAAGTTACTTACATGTCGGACAAGGTCAGCCTTCGCTCTGTGTCTAACAAAATTCAGCAGTATGCTGATGTATTATCAACAGCTCGGTATTCACAGGATTTCCAACCCAGACCCTCATGAGTTTGCAATCTCACTCCATCGTAAGTCCAGCCTTTCCTCTTTCGTTGATCTTACTTTCAAAGCTATACGGTTTATATTGTGGCTGAGTACTCATTCATTCTTAGTCTATACACCCCCTAATGCTGCAATCCGTGGCTTCTGCCTCTTTGACGAGAAAAACGGCAAAGCGAAGCACATCAAGCAAACCAACTACTATTCGGTTCGTGGAAAGCGGCTCGACGATGGACTTTGTCAGTAGCGAAGGTTGCTCCTTCGTGAAGTCTGCGTTTCGATGCTACTTCTAGACTGAAGAAAGTCTTCTTCTCTTTCCTTAAAAGTTTGAGCCGTGCAATGGTCCCATGGCCTGCCATTGGCCATTATGTGCACGTTATTTTTGATTGACGTTGTCACAGCGCCTTCTTATTAACATTAACGACTATATGAATCCATATTCTACTGCCTTGCCCATGATGAATAACTGACTCGTATCGGGGCTTACCCGACATGAAATAAGGCTGTGGGGACCGGTACGTTCCGAGTAGACAGTGTTGAAACAGTGTTTCACCATGCGCGGACCACGTCCCGTTTCCGTCAATTTCCACTTTACACCAGACGACCGGAATCTAAATAATCCACATCAAGGAGGACCCTGGCCGGTATTACACGGCGATTGCCCCAACTTAGATTGACCTGACATTCGGAAGCCTAATCGGATGGAGTTTATAGAAGAGCGTCGATCTCGTCATGGGTGACCAAATCGATAGGCAGCGGCATTGAGCACCATCCAAAGATGCGTGGGACTTTCATTCTTTTTTTTCTTTCGGTGCTGTGCGCCTCGGCCGCTGTCACTGAGTCTAATCTCAAATCTCATGTTGATGTGCTGGCGCTCGACCATTCCTTCAACCCTGTCAAGGCGGCTTACTGGACCGGTTATCCTCACCACCGACGCACTCCGTTCGCTGTCTCTCCTAATGGAAAGACAGCATACATAGCCTATCTCGATGCCAGCGAAACCGATGTCCATGTCCAGGAAGTGAATCCTACTACATTCAAGGCTACTGGAACCACCGTCACTATAAGCGGTGGAAAAGAAGGTTTTTTGCCTACATCTCTCAAAATTCGATGGTCACTAACTTTGAACTGTAGCTGGTGGTCTTGTTGCTCATGACGATGGCTTCGCTCTTCTCACCAATGAGGCAATGCCTTCCGGCACTGCTAACTCGCCCCCAAGCGACACCCCCGTCGCCGTACTCTATCGCTATACCAACGGCAAGAAGACCTGGAAGACTTGGCTCGGCGGTCCCGGCGTTCACACCTCTGACGGCCTCTCCGCCTCCCCCGATATGAACGGTGACCTCGTCTACTCTTACACCGCAGAGAAATACGGCGCATACTTTGTTGTGACGGACTACTCCGGCGATGCATCAGGCCACTACGGCGACAGCGTTCAGTACGTCTCCAAGACCGGTACTCTCGAGACTATCTCCGGCGCATCAAGCTCTTGGGGATGTAGCCACAATACCGGCATCGCGCTGGAGGTTGCTCCAAACCCCCCTTTCATGAGTATCTGTGCCGAGGACCAAGGCGCTATCTGGTTAAACTCCAAGACTCAGGGCATGACCAATGACGGAGTCAAGATCTCCAACGAGAACACTACCAACGGTGCCTCTGGAGAGCCCATGGGAGGTATGTCCGGCAGCTACAGTGCTTTGGCGCGCTTTGCGAAGACGAGTCGCTATATTTTTGCTTGGGTCTCGCGGGGTGCTGTCGATATTACGGAAAACACTTGGATGGGAGATGGATACACACATGTCACTAACCGTACCAACGAGCGCAATGTTGCTATTTCCTTGTTTACGAACAAGTACGACAAGGTCGGTGCTCAGGCTAGCTCGGTGGTTGGCGCCGAAGACGGTGATGCTCAGGTTACCTGGATCACCTCTGGATCGAACGACTGCTCCAATGCTCACGCGGCAACCTTCAGCAATGAATCTGCCCTGGTTACCTGGGAAGAGATCTCGAACCCTACCTGTGATTACATCGCCATGGGATGCCGGGGCACTTTTGCTGGATCGTACTTCCAGCAGGTGAGCCACGACGGTAGCAAGATGGGCAGCGCTATCAAGAGTGAAGAGATCTACGTTGCTGGTGACATGGTTACCATTAGCGATGGTCGTCTCTGCTGGCCTTATGTTAGCATGACGTGGGATCTCTCGCAGGCGGTTGGTTGGGGCTTGACCGTCGCGAACACCACGTCCATGAGCTTCGCTTGCATGAACCTCAATGCGTAAATAACCTTCCGGTTACAGAGCTCTGCTTTGATCGCATTAGTGCAATTGGGCTTCCATGCACTTCAATTAAGATATTTTCCATAGTTCTTTACCCGGATTTGGACCTTTGCATTGTCTTTAGCCTCGATTCGCACCTAAGGTTTTCTTGGCAGTTTTAACAAAATTCAACTCATGCCCTACTATAAAAAATAAAGATATGAGCTATCCATGCTCATGAGTAAAAGATATGCATATAGCGTCCTATTTATTGTCACTCCATGTAGAGCCAGGCATTTCTACTCACGGACTCTGTAGCAGCATATTTGGAAATTCAATTGGAAAATCCGGCTAACTACCGGTCATTCTTTCAAAAATAACTTACGAAGAGTCTTCAGGTTATTCCTGAAACAGGCATTCTACTTGTTAGTCTCATTACTTCTTTATGCCACAATACCCATATTCAAGGCTTATATAGCGACTTTTGGAAGCTCTGAGTTATTGGGTCCCGGCCGTCAAGAGTAGAGTTGTTTTTCCCATTCTGATAGACATGACGCTGAGTGTGAGAAGTCGTGGTTCAATCAATTTAAACCCATTATCGGTGATCACGATTACGAGGGGTCCTTCTGAGGTGATGTTGCTTAGAGAATACAAATTACTGGAGATTTATGCATTTCCTTAACTGCGCATGCGGGAGAATGGGCATATTCACTAGGGGGTGTTCACTCTCGTGGATAAAGGGTTTATATCGAAGGGCATTACCGGCGGGAATCCCATTCCCTCTGGTTTGACTACTTAGAAGAGACATCATCTTTCAAGTCCCCTATATTGATATTGGCAAGGCCTATGACGTGTATGTGATAGAAAACGCTTAGGCCCCCGCAGAGCTCAGGCCTCTCGTCAGAGCCGCATGAACTGACTACACTCGACTAGGAGACACTTCCCGGAAGAAGAATTTGATCATAATGAATAATTTGATTAGCCAGTAATCTAACTATTTGGCTCTATTCTATAGACCCACAGCCATGCAGTGCTCATGATGCAAATGCAAATGCAAAATATACGTAAAACCCATCCCAAGCATAAAAAAGTAAAACAAGAACCTCTAACATCTAAGATTCACCCGCGCAGGTGAAACTGGCGTTGCTTGAATCATTGTGAATGGCAGTGCCAGAGGCATACAAGCCAAGAACACACAGAATCAAACCGAAGAGAACAATGAACATGTTGAGAACGGTGAGCGCGATCTTCTTGGGGGAAGACCACCACTGGCCGGCGTTCAGGTGCAGCCAATAGACACCGGAGAGACCGTAGCTGAACCAACTGGCGAAGAGGGCACTGATCAGGGAGTTCAAGTCACTGAAGACGGGGATAGCCTCGGCGATGATCCAAGCGACGACCCAGCAGGAGACGCCCAGAGCGAGCCACAGGCCGACGGACTTCCAGCCGCGGGAGTGGATCAGGTCGGACTTGGCGGTCAGGCGGAAGTAGATGTACTTCAGACCGATGTGGCCGTTCACGACACCGGCGCCGACGATGGTGGGGATGGCGATACCGTAGGCGACCTTCTTCATGAGAGGACCGGCAGAGCTAAGGGCGGGGGACTCGACTTCGCTACCGACGAAGTAGTAGATGACGACAGAGGCGGTGAGGTACAGGCAGATCTCGAAGCTCTGAAGCATGAAGAGGGACTTCTTGAAGTCCTGGGGGGTCTCCATCTCGGCGATGAGACCGAAGAAAGCGACGTGAGCGCAGTAGGCGAAGACGATGTTGGACACTGCCTGGAAGGCAGTGTACAGATCGTTGGAGACGGTGGCCTCGATGATGCGACCAGGGTGCTCCTCGACACCGACGGAGATCATGGTGATCATGACGGCGCTGAAGATACTGACGAAGGAGCAGAAGGAGATCAAGGTCATGCCGCGCATGGTACGGGGGATGGACAGGACCAGGGAGATGATCATGCCGACCAGAGCGAAGACGATGGAGCAGGTGCCGTGGTTGGTGATGGTGTTCATCATGACGCGGAAAGTCAAGATGTGGCTGCCCATGACGAAGATACAGAACAGGAATTGGCCCAGACCGAAGAGCTCACGGCCAAAGGGACCCATCAGAATCTCACCGGCATCGCCGAGGTTCTGGATGTGGGGGTAACGTTCACGCATCAAGCCGATGTTGTACCCGGTATAGGTAGCGAGGAGACCGAGGCCAACGATCAAAATGATACCGGGGACGAAACCCAGGGTCGCCATGGCCGAAGGCAGCGACAGAACACCGAGAGAGACAGACTCGCAAATCATCAAGAGACCACATTGCCTGAGTCACACGTTAGAATCATCTCAATTCATTCCCCCGAACAGGCATTGGGTACATACCACCACTTCAGAGTCTTGTATTTGATCTCTGCATACTCCTCATTACCGAAGGCATCCTGGACCTCGCCGTGCTTGAGGACACCCTCCTCTTCATAAGTAGGCTCCCACTTATCCTCACGAGCCTCAATCTTGTCGTTGGTATAAGCCGGGGGTTGGGGCGTAACAGACTCCATCGTTCCCGATCCAATATGAGAAGTAAGAAACCCGGGGGAGTAAAGGGCAGAGGCAGAGGCAGAGAGTGGGCAGACGGGAAGAACGAGAACGGTGTCGAGCGAACGTTCCACCTGGAGAAAGTAGAAAAGAGGGGAGGAACTGGAGAGACCGAAAGAACTGGGGTAGGTAGTTTCTCTTATTAAAAAGAACCTCGTTTTGAGTTTGAGATCCACTCTATGCTCCGCGCGCCGATTTTGCCCCGTGGGAGGCAAATCTGGTCAAGTCTGGTCCGACTGCCACTCCCGTTTCCATGGAAGACCCGCCGCCCATTCTTCACCGGGAGATCATTGGACTGCGCCGGTGTCAACCAGGCCGAACGTCGGATGGTGGTCCAATCGCCGTGTCGGTCGGAGCCTCCCTTGACTAATTCGCATTCTTCATACTGTAGATTTCGATCTTGTGGCGTCCTCCGCGCCTTCGAAGCCCGCTAGTCGTATGATCTCGCTGGAACGGCCAGTCCAAGAGGGAGTTGGCTAGACCAGGAGGCCTATCCGACACTGGCAGGAGGCCATCGATATACCATCTGGAGAAGGGCAATTCGGAATTCGGGGAGGACAGTCTAACTCCGATCCTTGGATTCCACCTACCTAATAAGGAACCCCCCATGTGGCTTAGAGTTTGAAATTTCTTCCATTGTCCTTCGGTGGGTTCCCGTCAACCAAAAGAATGATTCAAGGCTGGTGTGCGCCGACTTCTCCCCTATCAAGTGATGGTCGTCCGGTAGACGCGTACATCCTGAGGCGAGCCGATTTGAGGCTTTTACGTTTTAACTTCTCACTTTGACTTTTGGCCCTTTATTTTTTGACTTTCTCGTCCGTGTTGTCGCTTTTACCCCAAACATCGCCCCCAGCAGAAATCGGCCCGACTGAATACTGTATACTGTATACTGTACACCCCTCCGTAGCATTCCCCATCCAAGATTGCCACTCTGACTGTTGCCCAAGACCCCGCTGGAATTTGGAACCGCTCGATCTCGCGTGGGCCGGAATCACCGGGAGCCGACCATTTTGGTCACCGGTTCGGCCCCGATTTTAGCTTCGCTCTAGGATGAAAATCAGTATTACCTTAAACACCATTCCCAGCGCTTCTATTGGCTTTCATCGCCGCCTACCTCAGGTTAGGTTTACCCTAACGGGCAGGTATATATGGCCCTGCAGCTACTTCCCCGGTTGTCCCCAGCCTCGTCAGCGCGTGTTCGGAGATCGGCAGGGGTAAGAGTCGAGGTAAGCTCCGGCTGATACATGGCTTTTCTCGTCTGTTATCTGTGGGCATTACCTATTCGAGCTACGTATTTTGGGGACGCTGAACGGTGCACGGCCCCACTCACAATTTTTGCGCTTGATTCTCGGCCAGAGATGCCCGGGCCAGATCCGGTGTGTCAGCGGTTTCACCCAGTGTAGATCGAGCCGTGATGACAAAAGATGATCCAGTTATTGGAATTTTGGGCCGTGACCATTTGGCATATTCAGCCGAGTGTGGGATGGGGCAAACCCAGGTCCGTAGTGGAGACTGTCGCCGAAGGTTGACCCCAGCGATCGGTGAACTTCAACAGCTTACTACCGGCAATTCGGCCGTAATATCCGTAGATCTGTGATGCACTCTGTTGTCTGAATAGGCTTCAAAATTGCCACAGTATTATAAGTGTACAAGCGGACTCAAAGAAGGCAGCTCAATTTTCGACCCAATGCAAATGCAATATACAAAGCGCGACTGAAGACTCGGTCGCCAAGCAGAACACATGAAAAACGCATTCAAAGAAACAGATTCTGTTCGCTAGATCATCAAAGCAAGTACCGATCATGTTCGATCATGTGCCTAATCACCCAAGCCAAACCCTTGACGCTACCTGGATCTATTACCTGTGTCACCGGGCGCACCTTCACGCCCGGAAGAGGCTGGATCCTGAGAAAGTCGACTCAGCAAATGCTCTGGATTCTCCAAAACAGCGGACTGTCGTCGGCGCAGCTCTTCCAGTCGAGCCAGGGGATTCTGTAGATTGCCAGAATAAGTACGTTGCTCCGAGGATAAGTGAAAACGCATCAACCGTGACACCCACCCATTCCTCCTGGTCCGGTACACCCTCGGCGGTTGGCAGGGTGGTCTCGGACGAGGCTTCGTCTCCGTTGGCCCCCCGCTGGATCGGCGCAGGCGTTACGGGAAGGCTGGGCCGCTCAATCTCCGTGGGGAAGTCGGTTAGCTTGATGCTGGGTCTGTGCTCACTAAGGCTGCTGGGTGGAGAGTCCTGCGTCGTGCTGGACTGGCTGGAGCCGGAGATTACTTGGGTGCGTCCTTGACGGACACTTTGCATTGATTCCATGTATTTTTGGATATGCGGGTCTTCGTCCCAGGCATTCGAGCGTGTGTAGGAGTCCCAGGACTCGGCGGAGGGCTCGTACATGGCTCGTTGCGTGGGCGTTTGTGGGGATGGGCTGGATTCCTTGACCTGGGTTGGGGTTGGTTGCTCTTCGGGTAAGACGGTGGGGACGAACTGCTCCTGTGCAAAGACACGAGTAGGTGCCGGAGCGTGGCTCTCCCAGGGGAATAGCTTGGTGAGCTTCTGCGGCTCCGGCTTCTTCGCGGGAACCTGGTAGTACATGTTCTTTGGGGCTTCAGGGTAGGACGGGGGGGTTGGAACAGATTCGTATCTTCGGACATAGAGTATGTCTTCTCTTGTAAACTGATTCCCTCGGGTCTTGAATTCAAGGGGGGTGGCCCTCTGGGTAACATTAGCAGCTCATTCAAGTGATCCGGTCTTGGAAGGATGACGCACCGTGAAGCATCCCATTCTGCCTTTGGTGCCTCGAAGGTCGCGGGCTCCGGAGATGAAGAACGAAGCGGCTGTTCCAGCTGGGTGAGCGGCGGCGTGGGCGCGATAGGCTGCGGTTGGTAGAGATGACCCGCATCATCGGATTGTTGATGTTCCTGCTGGTGTTCCTGATGATGATGTTCCTGCTGGTGCTGCTCCTGTGGAGCTTGAGGCTGTTCTTCATGTCTCTGCTGGGGGGCGAAGACAGAGGCAGGCATATGGGGCAAGGGAGGAATATAGGTCGAGACATGCTCTTCTCCACGCACATATTGCGGAACTGCACTCAGGATCGGCACCGCCACTGCGGTAGCTGGGGCCTGCTCCGGATCATGAGATGGCTGCCAAGCCTGAGGCTGTTCGTGCACTACCGATACCAACGGTGGTACACCTTCATCCCGGTGGTCTTCTTCGTAGTGGAAGCTTACAGGTGCATGCTCTTCGGCATGGTGAATGTGATAAGGCTCTGGCCATTGCTCGTGAGTCGGAGCTTCCGCATGATACGTTGTTTGTTTGTGCTGTGATGGGGGATGGGGGATTGATACCTGCTAATGATTAGATCAAATCCTCATGGGGGACGAAAGTACTCACAAAAGGCGGACGGTAATGTTGATCGTACACAGCCCACCATTTCCCAAGCAGCTGATTGTAAGGCGACTCCTGCGGCACCACCTGCCTTGGCAAGTTCCAGGGCTTCTGCGACCCAATGAAATGGATCAAGCTGATAGTACTCTGGAAATGCTTGTACGCGGGGATATACTGATAGTTGGCGCTGGGTGTGCAATTGTACGTAAAGCTTAGCCTATGCCAGTCACGGAAATGCATATTCAGCAGGCCCTGATCAGCTCCATCAAAGCTGATGCCTCGCTCAGCAAGCGCCTTCAATGCATAGTAGTCTTGCATATTAGGTCGGAGAACCATGAGTCCACTGTTGAAGATATCCGGCCAGCCCACGTCTGGCGCGGCCGCAAAGTCTACATCCAGGGATAACAGCTCGTCCGGAGCTCTCACGGCCAAGATGTCGCAATCGATGTAGACAACTTGGTCGAATTGGGTCTGACGCCAGAGCTCGATCTTGGTGAATGTGGCAATTAGGTCGGGTCGATCCATGAGCCATAGATTTGCAGGAGTGCCGTTTACAAGTTTGTGCACTGGGATCAGCTCATCATAGACAGTCTTGGAGATTCAAATTAGTATGGACAGTGATGAGGCCATTCCCTGGCAGCGAGAATAAGCATACCTGTAGTTCGATGACCGTGGCGGACCGTAATGTGTCTGGCGTGTAGAGGACGACCAATTTTGCATTCGTGCCATTGTCGCGCAAGGAATGCGCCAGGATCATAGCCCCTGGAAAACCTCGAGTCAGAGTAGCCAAACACAAATTCAATGAACCAATTGCTTACCCGGCAAGTAGTTGTCACTCAGCAACAGCTGTCAATCTCATCAGAATCCTCCACACCCCGGAATAGGAAAAAAGGGGGCCGCAAACGCACCGTGCAGTAGACTGCCTTCCGCTCGGACTCCATCGCGCGTCGAATTTCTCAACGCTCCGCGAAGCAAAACAATAACAAGGAATCACCGGAGTAAAGCAGCGCAGGCAAAAAAAAAAGAAGAATAAACAGAGTCAAAAGACGTCAGCTGGGCTCGGGGCTATAATTAACCCTTGAATCGATCCGTTGTTGAAAATTCGCAGTTCGGACTGGCCCGGTAGACGTCAGGTACGGAGCAGCGGGGACACAGCGGACTGTGATACCGGAACCGGACGCAGATTCAAGCGGACGGAAAAGCAGCTCACTGGTGCATCGCGTCGTGCGAGATGAATCTCAGTCGATGTAGCAATCAGGGGGCGTTGAAAGGAGAATGAGCATACGAGAGATGAAAAGATGAAAAGATAAAAAGAGGGGAGCTTGGAAGTGGCGGGAAATCGAAAGCAAGTTCAAGTTCAAGTTCAAGTTAGGCCAAACAGGAGCTGTCCCCGGATGAAGATCTCGAGGGGAAAGTGGAGGCGGCTGCTCCCATATTTTCCCCTCACCGACCGAAACAATGGTCTCCGCGGTACCCGAGCTTCTTTACTAGCTGATAACTAACCCGGCTATGTTGTTCTTCTTTCTAGCTTATCATCAACAGCTCAGGGATATTATTCCGCAGCTCATCATACTAAATGCATTCCTCAATCTCTCTGAAACTAGAAAGAATTTCATTTATCGCCCCTGAGGGGCCGAAGCGTTAGCTGTGGCGCTATGGCGCTATAGTGATACAAGAGCAAGAATAGCTCCGTGGAAAGTAGATAAGGCGGTACGAGTCCATAACAATGCATCCGCTAGCTCCCTCATCTACGTGCAATAACCTTTGCATCTTCATACGTGCGCTGCACAGCAACGCCAATATCCTCCTTCTCACCCTGCACGGCCCACTGCACGGCTGTCTCCAACGCCGCGCGGCTCTCCACCTCGATTGGAGTGAAATGGCCCGATCGTGGGAGCATCACGATCTGACTGTCGCCGACGAGGTAGTCGGCCATGCCATCTAGACAGATCGTCGGGTCCAGCGCAATGTCCAGCTTGCCCCAGAATACGGTTGAGCTTGCTTTCAGCACACCCGGAGCTCCTTCGTCGAACAGGCCTGCGCCGCTACTAGTCCGTTGGACATCGTTACCCCCTGCGAGGTGGTGGAGCGCAGCGACAGTCTCGAGGGACTTGTGCCAGCGGGAAAGCGCCGCGCCATCGCGATAATAGCCGGCCATATTCATCACGTTTGCGAACTCGCGTGAGTACTTGACTGTGCTCGGATATGATTCTCCGTTGGAAGTCTGCGTCTTCGACTCGGGTAGAGAAGGACCCATACTGCTGGCCATGGACTCGGCCGCGTCGCGGGGAGTGAATTCGGCCTTTCCGTGAGAACCCTTATGAACGGCTCTCATGAGTGATTGATTACCCCCGATTAGGAAGAATTCAACCAGAGGAACCGGCAACTGCATCGCGAAGATGTAGCCTGAACGTGCGAGTTGGCGGAACAGAGGCTTCAGAGTTCGCACAGCCTGGAGCAGCGGTGGACGTGATGAGCTCGGAGCATTGCGTGCATCTTTGTGAATCTTGCGCGCCGAGTCGATGGTGCGCATAACGTTAGACTTGACCAGGTCGGCCTGTGAAAATTAAGCTTCTGTCTTGATGAACGTAGGCTCGAGTCTCTTACCAATGGCCCGTTGGACAAAATGAACCGATCCGCAAGCGATGGAGCTTCGGCCGCAAGGCGCATAGAGATGACGCAGCCCCAATCATGGGCAACGATAATGGTCTTCTTCTTTCTTATCGTGGATTCATCGTCCACGCCGTATTGGAGTCGCAGGGTAACAATAAGCTCTGTCATCTTCTCCAGCACTCTGGTAGCGGAGTATTTTTCTAACCCCTCGCTACCTCCGTAACCAGGCAGGTCAATCGCGACCAAGTTCGCGGATTCTTGGAGAGAAGGCGAGCTGACAATGTGGCGCCAGATGGCCCAGCTGTCAGGGAATCCATGAACGAAGATAACTAGCGGCTTGTCGGATTTCAGGGCAGCGGGTGAGCCAGGTGCTTCATTGCTGAGGAAGTGGAATTTGAAACCACTAGCCAGAGTAATGATGTGGTGGGAGAGACCGGCGAAATCCTTTGAGAGGTCCCACAGGCGATCGCGAGCTATTATGCACGATTAATGACAATATTCTTGCATGTAAAGCATTCTCAATGGCATTGAAGATTTCGAGGGGGTTGAGGGGTTTGGTGAGCATTATGGTAGAAACTTACCAATTTGGAGCTCGAGGTTCTCCTTTTCAGTCCTGCTAGTGAAGAAAGTCCCGTTTTTGATGGAAATACAGGCGTAAATGATTATTGTGAAGACGCCATAGACAAAGGCGAGCGTCAACAGGACGGTATGCTTAATGAGGCCCATGTTGAAAGTCACTCTCAATCATACGAAGGAGAACTAGACCGGAAGTGAGGGGAGAGACATGTACAAGGAGCGTTGTGCACCTTACCAGAGCTCTGTGGCGGAGAACCTCGGAGCTGATCCAATGTCGCGCCAATGTCGCGTCACCTTCAGGGATTCTTAGTCATCGCCACCGGAGGTTTAACCAAAAGTTTCCTTGGTTCATTCTGGAACTATGGAACTATGTACCTACGTACCTCTCCTGGTTATTTTCAAGGCTGTGTGTGGAATGTTATGGTGGCATAAGATTACTTTTGATAGTAATGAACAGCGATGCTCAGCCCTAATGGCTTCAATCCCGAGAACGCCAAGTTCCATCTTCACATGCAGTTTAGATCAATGTATCACGCCAGAAAGAAGCCCTGCAGGATCGTAAAGGAACATTTGAATATGGGTATTAAGACATGATGGTGGGGGGAATGCAGCGGTAATGTAAAAGAGAAATACCAAGCAAGGAAATGGCCGTGAACTCGTCGATTTTCCACACGAGGCTGAGTCGCATTCAGCAAGTAGAACAGTAGGAAACTAGGGTATATATACAAAGGCGACAGCTAGGAATAGAAGAAGGAGGAGAAGAAGAAGAAGAAGAAGAAAAGGTCGATCAGACAAGGAAGCCGAGTTGGTCTCGGTTGTCGTCAACAAGACGTCCGTACCTGGATATGACGGTTAGCAAAGAGCAAAGAAAGATGATGGGTTAAAACTCACTCCAAGAGTAAACGGAAGAACCAGACCTCCATGTCACCATTGCGCAACACCCTCTGTGCCCAGTCCTGTCCCTGGGCAGCAATCTGAGGGGCCGCCTTCCTGCCCTCTTCCTCAGACACGAAGTACCGCATGCTCTCGGTATACTCGTTGCCTTTCAGGCTGAGCGGCACGTAATGCACCCAAGGCTTGAGCCACTCGTCATGCCATTCGCGGAAGAGGGCCATCTTATAGACGAAGCTGTTGCTCAGCAGGAACGCATAGAATCGCCCACTGAAGGCATTGCCATCAATGTCAACCAGGTACTTATGAGCCCAGGCATCTTGCTGTCCAGCAGGCTTGACAACTTCGAAGTACTCTTCCTGCGCGTGGCAGTCATCGGGATCACATTGCCCAATGAAGGTGAACTTGACATCGAAGTTCTGGCGATAGTCCTCCTGTCTGACTTCTTGCGAGGCCCACGAGTTGTCTGGCTGTCTCACGAGGATTTTGGTCTGACCCAGAGAGTTCACGTTGTCGACAAACTGCTGTCGGTGTTGTCGGCGCCAGCCGCCCGCACGCGAGAAACCACCAGTTGTAGACCCACGCCAGTACATATGGTCAGACTTGGCCTCCCAAGTATAATCCTTGCGGTGGTCGTACGGCACCTTGTCGACCCAGTACCACGGGCTAGGGTAGAGAATGTCCTGGAAACTAGAGACCTTGCTCTGCGAAAAAATGGGGAACAGGTCATGAACGACATCGAAGGCGTTCGGTCGGTCAAAGAATCCATAGGTGTAGCGGAGGGAGGGAGTATGGCAGATATCCGAGAAGGCAGTGGCATTGTAGATGAAGCCCAACTCGCCGTACGCGTAGGGGTCGACATCATCCGGGGGATCATCCGACATGGATCGTGCAGGGGTATCGACAGGGCAGGATTGGCGGGAATTAGTCCAGGTAGGCTGGTGCGCGAAACGATTGAAGCGAGTCGTGCGCACCTCATCGATGCGATCACCCTTGTTCAGATCAGGAGCGCGAGGCGACCAAACGTTCGTCGGTGTCTGTCTGTTGAAAGCGGCCGGGATGACTTTGTCTGTCGCTATCTGTACCAATCGCTGGAGGTCGTCGCCAGGAATGACCACGCGGGGCTCATCGTGAGTGTTGAACACCAAGTCCATGTCCGGCAGGTACTGGACAAAGTCCTTCATCATGCCGACCGTGGCTTCACGCTGCCACTTGCGGCCATCACCGCCACCCTCGGTGAGAGTCACCTTGCCATCGCGAATCAGAAGTCCGATCACCGCGTTGTCGAATCCCAGTGTCTCTCGAGCACGCGAGCGGATGACCGCCGGCTCCAGCGCCCAGAAGGGTAGCAGCGAGTGGTAGATAGAATCAAACTCATCTACCAGCTCGACACCCTTGGACTGGGCGAAGTAAAACCACTTGTCGAAATGCGGCGGCGGGTGCATCTTGTAGCGACGCTTGTACTCCTGCACGGCGTCGCCAAGGGTCTTTGACTGGCGCGTCCGCACATGATCAAACCGCTGTTGTGCATTGTGGATCAAATTGGAGATGGGATGGACCTTCTCAGGAGGATAGGAGCCCTGGCCCGCATGGAGTTGAGGATGTCTGATCGGTTCGGGAGGGGGATCTCAACAGGTCGAGCCGGGGGATTCGAGGGACGGAGGTAGACGATGGAGAAACAGGCGATTAGGACCACGGCGATCAGGACGGTCAGTCGTTGATTCCTCATCCTGCCATTTGGTGTAGACATGTAGAGGGGGGGAAGCGTTCAGCACGAGGCGAAAAAGGGTCCTAGGGAGGATGCTCCATCCGGTAAAGTGCAAAGACTCCAGGCCCTATTCTTATGGGACCGCCAAGCCTCGACTCCCGACTAATGTATCGTCCACGTACGGCTAACGCGGTCTAATTTCCTGTTTTTATCTGTTCGCTTTACGTCAGGTTTGTTATTCCTAAAATCTGTGTTCCCCAAGGGCCACGTTGGCAATCCTCTGGAATTCCATTCCATGTGAACCGCCTGTCAATCGGGACTGAAATTACACCACTCTAAAATCCGGGGAACACGAATCTAAACAATTGCATTGTTCCTGTTCCAATTCGCCAATATGAGCCAAGAGTGCCTAAATGGGATGCAGTCTGCATCTACATAGTTACACCGGTGTTTAGCTATTTACACATGTGGCGAACCAACAACCCTGAAAGCCAAATGCCACCAGGAATGTATAACTTCCAAACATTGAGCATCGAAAACATTCAAGTACTCTTAATCGGACTATTTACCTCCAAACACGATGACTCTCTATACTCTATCCCCCCCATCGAACCAAAACCAAAGAACAAACCCCATTAATCACCGAAGCCCCCAGCGCCTGGAGCATATACCTTTGCGCTTGCGTAACATGGCAATAAACAGCAGCACACAAAATAGTCACCAATAAAACATGACCGATATAAAACGACCGTCTCCGCTCCTGCATAGACGTAGCCGGCTGAGTGCCGCTCTTCCGCGCAACACCACGGGGCCGGACGAAAAAAAGAAGCGATACCGCCGTAGACAACGCAAGGAGACCGCATTGTACGTCAAAATCACGGACTCGCTTGCTGAGAAGGGAGCCAAACTCTGGGTGGCTTGATTGCACGAAGAATAGCAGGTAAAGAGAAGCGTGTCCGAATAGGAGAGGCGAGATGACCACGCGACCAAAAAGACGGTGGTATGGTGTTATGGTTGCCTGTGAGATTGATGTGATGAAGGAGAAGATTGATCCTGCGGATGGTTTGGTGGTTGAGATGTATGCTGCCGGGGACATCAGGACTTGGAGAGGTACTTGGGACAGGCCGATGTGGCCCAGGGCTTTGGTTAGATGGAGATAGTCTGCGAAGTGTGAGTATGGTATGCTCGAGTTGACAATTGGGGTTCTGTGACTATACACAGAGAGGTATGGGACGTACCATCTCCACTCTTCCATACAGCAAGGCCCACTAGCCAAGATAACCACACGCCGCAGACAAGATACTGTCTCCGGGTTTCAAGCCATCCAGTGACCAACGGACGATCCCACCACGAGGTTAGGCCACGCCGCGGTTTTGGAGCATCGCCAGGTATCTGGGCTGTGGCCCAGGCTTGGTAAACTCGAAGTACGATGATCACCACAAGGATTGAACCCTGCGCGATGACACCGCGCAAGTCAAGTAAATCCCTGCGCTGAGATTTCTCCTCTTCAGAGACAGTGATGAAGTGCCAAGGCCAAGTGGATGACATAGTGCTCACAGTTTCAATTTGTCAATTTTTGAAAAGTTTGAATTGAGGTTTTAGTTTGCGCACAGTGCAGGGCAAGAGATAGCCAAAGATGTTGTGTATAGACGGTGTACGGTAATGTCGGAATGGAAGGAATCTAGTTGGCAGCAGCCATGGCAGACGTAAAACCTCCGATATCAGATAGATTATTTGGCCTTCAAGAGTCTTTAGACGGGATCCTAAACATCCGGCTTTGCAAGAAGAGTTGCAAGGTGTCGCTGACGCGTGGGACTAGTCGTCTCTGGCCCGCTGACAAATGATGCGACTTGACTCGCCCAGCCGGAACCCTATGCTTGACCTTCACATTGCGTTCAAATGTTGACTTGACGAGCGTTCTACAGTTCTCGGAAATATTCATGGCGTGATTGCTTTTATGACTACCTTTCTGGATAGACGGGTTATGCATGGAACAAAAATCCTCTACATTAAAAAACGCCATCAAGACATCATCCCGAAGCGGGCTACCTTATTCTTCTAAAAGTGACAGGATGCCCAAGACCAGTGCGTAATATGGGGTGTTTCTGTCGTCAATACTCTCCGTGAGTGAGACCTTCCGAAGAGTATTTCGTGAGATCCTGGGTTATCTTATTCACGGAGAGGTCTGCATGACCTCGTCCTGGTTGCCACCCGCAGTCGTAGCGAAGTAGCGGACATCGACATCGTCATCCTCCTGCAGCTTCTCCAACATCGGAAGAATCTTTTGCTGGATCAATTCCTGGCTCTTGGGAGAGGGAGTGCCGGTCTCTCCGGACTTCTCAACCTCAACCAGAGTCTTATCCTCTGGCAAGCGGCGCAGGGTGTCAATCAAGACGGCATAGGACTTGGCGACGTTGAAGCGGATGTTGGGGATTTCATCTGTCACAAGGCGATCCAGGATGGGAATAATGGAGCTTTCGAGGATATCGAGAGTAACAACGGGGGCGAGGGTCTGACATGGTTAGAATGCTTGGATCGAACTGCAAATAAAAATGAGGAAACTCACAGAAACAGCAAAGCATGTGGTCATACGGTAAAGGTAGTTGGGATGTTGTCCCATGGCAATCACCTTGGGGATAATAGACTCCTTGGACCAATCCACTCCGAACACCTCAGTAAGCTTCTTCAAGTTCTGGGTAGCAGCCTCTCGGATCGAGAAGACAGTATCGCCGAGCCAGCCCATGCAAAGGTCGCTCAATTGCTCGTCAAAGAACTTAACACCCAGTTGACTGGCGAGAAGAGGAATGTATTCGATAATAGCAAGGCGCACACGCCACTGCTTGTCCTCGGCCAGCTGGACAATAGCAGGAAGAAGAGACTGAGAAAGAAGATCGATGCCAATGACTGAGAATGAGTTAGCCGAATCCATGTCAATAGTCGCATATAAATTAGTGTCTCACCTTTGTTAACCTGCTCAAGCTTGGAGATGATGTGGAGGCGAACATCAGGGAAGTCATCCTTCAGCATTTGCAGGAACATAGGAAGGAGATGGGCAATAGTCCTGCGAAATTGTCAACGATTGATGCTTCCAGGGCGTGGACACAGATAACTTACTCCTCCTTTCCAAGGATAGGTGCCAGACCACTAATCTGGGTACCTAGAGCCGCCCGAACGTGCTGGGATTGATCCGAGACGAGATCCTCCACGCTAGTCATGATCTCATTAAGCAGAGTATCGCGATCGATCAAAGTGCAGAAGCCTAGCCATGAGATTAGATTACGTCCCACAGAAATGGGCCGGACAAAACATACCCGGAATCTGGCCAGCAATTGCAGTGCGGACCTCAGCCTCGGTATCCTTCAGCAGCTTCACAAAAGCCGGCACCATATCGCGTGTGATCACTTCCTCGTGCACAGCCTTGGCAATCTGTGCCAGATATTAGTAACGCTCCAGGATTCAAAAAGTTGGGCCAAGATTAAGCGACGCACCTTCTCATATCTATCAGCAACCATATATCTGACTCTCCAGCTCTTGTCTTCGAAGAGAGCACGCAGCGATGTCAGCAACACACCGTGGCTAGGTTGCTGCTCCTTGGGAATTTCCTCCGCGATCGAGATAAGAATGTCCACTGTCAACAGGCGCACACTGTCCTGGTCGTCGCTTGCGAGGTATTGGAAAAGGGGTATCATTTCGTCAATAATCACTGGCGTATCCATCTCTTTGACAAACTTAGCCAGGTTGTTGGCGGCTTGGCGGCGGACCATGGGGGTTTCATCGTGTACCAAAGCTCCGAACTGCTGACGGAGGCTCTGTTGCATAGTCGGCGTGGCCTTTTTGTATGGTGTAGAGTAGAGGCCCGTGGCGGAGACCTTGGAAGTGAACCAGTCGGCTTTGGAGAGGTGGAGGACCAGGGGAACAAAGTGCTCTTCGACTTGGTTCTCGTTCAACTGCTCGCAAACTTTGTTGAGGGACTCAACGGCCTGGATTCACATAATCAGCATGACTCCTACGTGGACAGAAGAATATGCAACCCACCTTCTCCCGAACCAAGGGCTCCTCAATTGCCGCCAGATTCTCCAGCGGAGACAGGAGCACATGCGCATGTTCCGGTCCTCCGACGTACTCTGTGAAGTTGCCCAGCTCCTCACTGAGGGCAGTTAAGACCTCATCCTCGTCTTCAACGGAGTCTAGTAATGGTCTATGTTAGCTGGGTCCAAGCGGCAGGGAGGTGGGGGTAGGGACTGACCATCAAGGAATGGGATAAGCTCCTCTCGGGTTCTCTCAGGTCCCAACGCTAGTGCGATAGTCGAAAGACGGTGAATGGCATTGAGTCTGAGGAGAACATCATCGTGCTATGTCATTGACGTGTGAGCTTGGATCAGTGGAGGGGGAACAGGTGGAGGGCGGAGCATCGGCGCACCTTCAGCTCATCAATGAGCACGGCGATAGGATAGAGCTCGTCGTTTTCGTTTTGACCCTCCATCGCTGGATGTGGTATGTGTATTAGATCGGAGGGAGGCGTGGGAGGGTGAGGTGTGGCAGGTCCCAGTCCTGGAGGGAAGGGTTGATATCAGGACGGGTGTAGATATAGCACCCGGTTAAGAAAGATTATTGGAGAGAGATGCGAGCGGTCATGGAATCGGGGACGATTAGCGGAGCTGATGGGGGGGGTCAGGTTAGCGACTGCGGAGGGGGGTTCAATAGGGAAGGGGAGGATCGAGGTTTCGTGGGGTTTTGGGCCGCAGGGCTAGCAGCGCAGAGAAAGCATACCTCGGACAATTGGAGATCCTCAACCCACGAGTTGGCAGGAAGACAAATGGGGGAGATAAAGGGATCAAGCGGTTGCTACAAATAGAAACAGGATCGATGGCAGTGACGGGGAAGTCTTTTGGGCTCTGAGCTTTCACAAACAAGCTGGCGGGTTATGTAAGTTACATACAGCCATACACCCGCATGGGCCATCCCCAGCAGAGATACAGTGACAATACAGATACGGCGGTCACAATGGAGGGGAGAAGCGTGGCGGTGGTGGCTTGTGGGCAGAATTTCCATCGGAGATTGGAGTCATAACTTGTACTTTCGAGTCGCACTCTCTGTGGATTTGGTACGTTCCCTCTCAACTCAGACTTGTGAGATATTCTTGCCACGGTTACCCTGTCATTTTCACCTAGCTGACTGATATTCCCTCCGTCTTCGCAGAATTGCTTCGCATTGTGATCCCCCGCCATGCCCACTATCTCGGTCGACAAGGCCGCCCTCTTCAAGGAGTTGGGTCGGGAGTATGTGTTTCTGTGATCTTGACTTCACTTCGCATCACTAATTACGTCTTGCGCATCTGTATAGCTATACCACGGAGGAGTTCGATGAGTTGTGCTTTGAATTTGGTGCGTTGTGTTGCTGGGACCACTGGCGGGGCATAGGCTAACTGAAACTATGCAGGCATTGAGCTCGATGAAGATGTACGCCATTTAAACCCCTATTGGAATATATGACTCGCCGCTGAAAACTTCCAGACCACAGACCAACCCCGCCCGATTGTCGACGGCGTTCAGGAGCCCCCGCAGCTCAAGATTGAGATCCCGGCCAACCGGTATGCCCGAACACCATGCGAATATACGGAGAGTCGCGGACTAAAACGAATCTCAGATATGACTTGCTATGCTTCGAGGGTATTGCACTGATGCTCAACATCTTCCTCGGCCGGAAGCCTCTGCCCGAGTACAAGTTGACCAAGCCCGCTCAACTCCAAGAGATTATTGTCAAGGAAGACGTAGGTTTTCTTTGTATATATACCGAGGCTCATTTACTGAACGAGGCTCTAGACCACCAAGATCCGACCCTACGTGTCCGGCGCCATTCTCCGTGGTGTCAAGTTTGACAAGGCTCGCTATGAGTCCTTCATTGCCCTTCAAGATAAGCTGCACCAGAACTTGGCGCGCCAACGCACTCTGGTCTCTATCGGTACCCACGATTTGGACAAAGTCAAGGGACCCTTCACCTACGAGGCTCAGGCTCCCAAGGACATCAAGTTCACTCCCTTGAACCAGACTCAGGAGATGAACGGCGAAGAGTTGATGAACTTCTACGACGTATGGCGCACCGAAATTACCCTCCTCAGCTATAACCATAGATATGCTCACATCATTTAACAGAAACACCTGCAGTTGAGCAAGTACCTGCACATCATCCGTGACTCCCCAGTCTACCCGGTCATCTACGACTCGAACCGAACTGTTTGCTCTCTTCCACCTATCATTAACGGCGACCACTCGAAGATCACAATGGAAACCACCAATATCTTCATTGAGATCACTGCTCTCGACCGGACGAAACTCGAGATCGTTAACCGCATGATGGTCACCATGTTCTCTCAGTACACCTCGGAGCCATTCACGTACGTAATTAGCGAACAATTGACAGACCCCCAATCTAACCCAATTACAGCATCGAGCCCGTCAAGATTGTGTCAGAGCACAATGGGGAGACTCGTATCACCCCCGACCTTTCTTCCCGTGTCGCCCAGGCGGAGGTTTCCTACATCAACCAATGCTGTGGCTTGAACCTCACTGCCGTTGAGATCAGCAACTATTTGAAGAAGATGGCCTACCATGCCAAACCCTCGACTACCCAGCGCGACGTCGTTGATGTCGAGATCCCTCCGACTCGCGCCGATGTTCTGCACCAGTGTGATATCATGGAGGACGTTGCCATCGCCTATGGCTTCAACAACCTTCCCCGCTCGTTCCCCAGCAAGTCTGGCACCATTGCCCAGCCTCTGCCCGTCAACAAGCTAACTGACATCATTCGTATGGAAACTGCTATGGCCGGTTGGTCCGAGGTCCTGCCTCTGATCCTGTGCTCTCACGACGAGAACTTCGCCTGGTTGAACCGCAAGGATGATGGCAACACCGCTGTCAAGCTGGCCAACCCTAAGACTCAGGAGTTCCAGGTTGTCCGCACCAGCCTGCTCCCCGGTCTGCTGAAGACTATCCGTGAAAACAAGGCCCACAGTGTGCCCATGAAGATCTTCGAGGTCAGCGATGTCGCCTTCAAGGACCTGTCTCTGGAGCGCAAGAGTCGCAACGAGCGTCATTATGCCGCCGCCTATTACGGCAAGAGCAGTGGTTTCGAGATCGTTCACGGTCTCATGGACCGCGTGATGGCCATGCTGAAGACCGCTTTCATCACCTCTGAGGAGGGTTTGACCAACCCTGCTGCCAGCGAGTCGCAGTACTACATCAAGGAGCTGAATGGTATGTTGAATGAGATTGCCTTGATGTTCCCATTCAAATGCTAACCATACTTTTCATAGACCCCACCTTCTTCCCCGGCCACGCCGCCTCCATCCACCTCCGCATTGGCGGCAAGGACCAGGTCATTGGCAGCTTCGGTGCTTTGCATCCTGAGGTCCTGGAGAAGTACGAGCTCAAGTACCCCGTTAGCACCCTGGAGCTTAATATCGAGCCTTTCCTGTGAACGGTTCCTAACGCACGTACATTTGCCTATGCTTTGTGACGCAGATAGATGATGACATGACGTGGAGAACTCTTTTTGTGATACGCCAGTATATTTCGAATAGAGCTATGCTGATGCAAAAAAGCAATAAAAATACAAATGCTCATTTACAAATACCCATTCATGCCTTAATTTCATATACGAGGGAAGAGTTGCAAAAGTGTAGGTGTTAGTTATATGGTCTTTCTGAAGGAAGGGTAAGCACAACTCATGTGGTAAGAGACGTCGAATATACACGTCGACGGGCTGCGCCCTGTCTAGCTGAACCACCATCTAAAAAGATTACAATATTCTCTACGTTTTGGTAGTGAAAACGGCAGGCAGTAGTGTATGGATGCTTATGGGTCCAATCTAAGGGCATGTTCGTGATCTATATTCACTTAAAAGTAGCTACGTGAACATTGTCGGAGCCTTAAATCACAAGCTGTCGGCCAGCATCAAGTACATATCCCATTCAGACGTCAATCAAGACAAAGCTAGCAAAATTATTGCCACAGACATCAGTCATGAATGTAGGAACATTTGAGTCAACTTTTTGAAGTCTTCATGTAATTTTGATTGCGTGAGGTAGAGAGTATAAGAGGTTATGACAGGAAGAGAGAAAAGGGCTTAATTTGGAAAAAACAAGTTTACTCCTGAGTGTAACCCTCGGTAGCACCCTCAGCCTCAGCGGCCTGCTGCTCAGCCAGACGCTGCTGCTCAGCAGCCTGCTGGGCAGCGATAGCCTTGGCACCGTAATCCTGGGACATGGGCTGGAGAACGGGCTGCTCCTCCTTGGGCTCGATGATGGTGACCGAGTCGGGGAGAGTCTTCTGGGGGCCGGACTTGCCCTCGGGGTCGGAGCCGCGCATGATCTTGACCTTGATACCAAGGACACCCTGGCGGAGGAGGACGTGGCGGGTAGCGGAGTCAATGAACTCCTTGGCGGGCTGACCGGAGTGGATCATGAAGCCGTCCTAATATGATTGTTAGTAGCTGTTTTCCTGTGTGACTTTTATATGGCGAGGGTTTGAGATTTGGCGCAGGGATGATCAGATATCCACCCAGTCGATTCCGACTATCACAACGCTTTCTCCTACCACTCCCACGGTATGTACGTACGGTGAACTTCATGGACTTAGCACGGGCGGCACGGAGCTTGCCGGAAACAACAACCTCGCAACCCTTGGCGCCGGACTCCATGATGAAACGGAGAACACCGTAGCAGGCACGGCGGACGGCGAGACCGTTCAGGAGCTTGTAGCGGAGGGACTCGCACTGAGCGACAGCGGAGAGACCGCGGTTCTGGACCTTGGCGGCATAGAGAGAGACGGAGTTCTCGGGGAACTTGAAGCGCTTCTGGATGAGCGAGGTGAGCTCGCGAATGCGGCGGCCCTGCTCGCCAAGAACCTCCTGGGTGTGAGTGGCACGGACGACTAGAAAGAAAGAAAGCATCCGTTAGCATCGACGATCCCGACTGTTATTTCCGCATGTCCAATCCGTCGCCGCCATTCAGAAATTCTCCATACTCCTGTAACATTTCTTTCCTTTTCCTGCGGCACGGTCCAACTCAGATATCGGGGGCGAACGTACTGATGTCGGTGACGGTGGGAGTGACACGGACTTCGACACCGGAGTAGCCCTCCTCAGCAAGCTCGCGCTGGAAGAACTCGTTGAGCTCGGCGTAGAAAACACCGTCAGCGACGAACTTTCTGCGCTTGGAGATAGCACCCTGGACAGCGGCCATTTTTGCGTTCCTGGTTGTTGGAATTGGGGGTTGTCGACGAGGAGGCGGGATCGAGGTCGAAGTTCCTTGTGCACAGGTTAGTGGGGATTTTTCGGGCGTAGGGCTTCTCTTGCCCGTTTTGGCTAGGGCTCAACCCTCGCTTGTACTCGACGGGAGCTAATCCTATTTTAGTCTAGTGCGCCATATCTCAGGCTATAAGGCACTCAGGCATTCAGGTATTCAGGCATGAATGACATGGTTAT